GACGTTCAACGTCGCGATCTTCGCATATTTCTAAAGGGCGAGGCGCCAAGTCTATTGTTTTGAATCAAGGGTTATATTACATTAAGAGACCCTGAGCCTATCTTAAAGCTGTCAACAATGTTCGTTTTATTGAGCAATCTTTCATCTTTGTTACTTAATCCAGTTTATCTTAAGTGGACACCCAACGTAGTTGCTATTCACGTGCACTGTCGAAAGCATAATATCAAATAAACTTCAAAAATTCTGCATTCACTCCCGGGAGCTTCACTCTTCGTCTTTAATTTTAGCCGACCCACTCAATAAACAATAAATAAAAACAATACTACCGAAAAATCATTACAACTGAGATCTTGATGAATAAACAATGAAACAACAACTCAATAATCTCTCAGGGAGATCACGCGCCAAAGCGGATACCCGCGAGGTTTGTTCGGTTTCAACATAGATGGAGCAAATTTTTACATCGCTAGTATAAATCTGGCCTAATTGTCACATTTGATCGAAGAGAGATATTTGCGCAAAAAAAACTATGACAGTTCACAAACGATTTAGACATTATCTTAATATTTTACCTTAAACTGTCGAAATTAAAGTATTGCCGTCCGGTGAACATCAAACACAGGCATCACGCTCAATATTATCCAGACTGAGAGCCATAGATCAGAAAAACATTACAATTACTAAATTTCACTTTTAAAAACAAAACTACTTGTCGTAAGATTGGACGCATCGCATAAGAGCTAAAGACTTAAAAGGGAGAGGAAATAAAAATCTACTGAATTATATACACTAACGATATGTAAAACACGATCGATTCAAGCTGTGACTTACTTTATACTTTATCACCGCTTAATTAAGTATGGGCGCGCTGCCTGTAAGCCATTAGAAAGAGGAGAGAAAAATCTACCGAATTATTCAAACTAAAGCAATGTAAAACTGCATTTACTAGCTAAAACACGATCGATTTTAGCTATGTACTGTTCACTTTAAAAAAAATCTCCCTTCACCTCTTAAACTTGGGCGCGCCGCCTGTAAGCCAAGAGGGAGTGGAGAGAATAATCTACTGAATTATCCAAACTAACACATCGTATAAAAACTGGAATTGGCTAGCTACTAAAACATGGTCTATTCAGGCTACGAGTTTTTTACCCTTGCAAAAAATCTCTCTTCACCTCTTAAACTTGGGCGCGCCGCCTGTAAGCCAAGAGGGAGAGGAGGGAATAACCAAACTAAAACAGCGTATGAAAACTGCTATTGGCTAGCTACTAAAACATGGTCTATTCAGGCTACGAGTTTTTTACCCTTGCAAAAAATCTCTCTTCACCTCTTAAACTTGGGCGTGCCGCCGGTAAGCCAAGAGGGAGCGGAGAGAATAATCCACTGAATCATCCAAACTAACACAGAATATGAAAACTGCAATTGGCTAGCTAAAACACGATCGATTTAAGGATCCGAGTTCTTTTTACTTAAAAAATATCTCCGTTCACAAAATGCGTTCCTATAATCCATTCTTCGAAATTTGGACCTGCAAATCACTTTCGGTGAAAATTTAACATCCTGCATGCAGAAATACTAAACGAGCTGGGCCCAGCGTGACAAAAATTGAAGGAAACCATCACATTCACACGGACAAAAGAATATCGCCTTTAGCTATTCAGATCCAGGATGCACTTTGGAGAAGAATAAACAACCTAAAACTCTTATTTAGCTGCAAAGGAAGAGATTCACGTTTCAAAAGAGGTCGAAGAAAGTGCTCTTGCATCAGAGGGCAAATCATGCCGACCAGAAACAATAACCGCAGAAAATCAATATGCGTGTCATGACATCTCAGTATGAAACAAGCGGCAAAGTTCACATTTACTCATTCAAAGAGTAGAACCCAGAATATAATATACCCACCAGAGAAGACAAGTTTTGGAACAAGCAGCATTTTGGCACGAGGTAAAAGTCGTGTGTTGCCTACCAGCTCCCTTTTTACACTCTGTTAGATGGTTCGAGCATTTTGGCGCGATCACAGCTCTTTTGGCGCGTTTTGTAAATGCTCTTTGAATTATAATATTTGCGCGTTATTGTATAGTGATCGAGGATATACACAATACCAAAGGCAAGTAAATATTTTCCTCAGTTTGCTTTTTCCTGGAACCACGATTTCTGTGTCGTCAAACCGGCTTCACCGATGTGCTCGAATTCCGCATGCGAGAGCCATAACAAGCTGTTCCTCTATACCTTTTAAATAATGAAGTTCTCTCTTTCCTTATATCGGCGAACACAGTTTCTGTTCTTCGGACATAATGCGAAATAACATCCAGAACTCTTTTCCACGTTGAACTTTTGAAAACATTTCGGTGACAATATGTAACTTACCAGGTAACGTAGTGAATATTACTTTGGAGGGTTCGAATTCGACCCTCATAAAGCGATAGATTTTGCCTTTCGCTTAAGTAACGAAAAAATATTTCTTTTTTTCCAAGACTTGCAACAAGACCCTCTTTTAACACCAACCATGAATTAAATTATTTTTATTAAGCGATTTTGACGAGAACCATAGCTGAGTTAAAATATCTCGCTCCGATGGTATAAATTCGGCGCGCAGAAGACAAGCTTTGATATTTGACGCAAATTTGTATCCTGTCCTAAAATGAGTTTATTGACAGATGAACTGACAGAAAGCGATTAATGTGCACACCTGAGGTGCGCAAGGAAATGTGCCAAGACTAACGCCTTGTAGTTACTTGAGTCCAGTTTGTGGGTATTTCCATGGAAATTAAGGACCCCTGATGCGTGCACGAAAATCGACCTTGCGGCTTGTAATGTGTGAGAGTAAACATTGGTTTCCCTGTAGGGCGGACGGACGGTCGTTCGTTCGTTCGTTCGGTGTACGGTGACGTGATTAGCAAATTTTCTGGGATGGGTAGATTACCTTAGCTATGGGGCTCCGCCCACGCGCGCGTGTGGAGCTCTGCTATAAATGTTCCTGTAAATGTCACATTCAAAGCAGACAAGTCCCAAGCAAAAGAGATCAAACGCTCGCTAATGCAAAAGAAGATCCACGTTGTATTATCTTCGATGGACGATAACAATCCAGTGAAAAAGTAAACGCCGTAGCACTGATGTTTCGGTGGACTTTGTTCTGGACCCGTGGTTTTGTGCTATTGAGTAACTGCTTAATATTTAAGTTGTGGTTTCAAGAACGGGATGTAACGCGGTCAATGCAAGCTTATTGTTTAATTTAATAAACAACAATTTTCTGATCTTGTTAACTGAGAATCTTCCCATTTTGATTCCCTACTTACCCCCAAAATTCGAATATTTGCGACCCCATTCTAGTAACTTTATTGAAAATGCGACCCCATTAACGTCACTCCAATCGTGAAAATGCGACCCCATCCAGCTGCACATCTCCATTAGGCGGGTGCCCCTGAGTTCTGCGTCTGAACCGGGCCTAAGCGCCGGTTGATGAAACCTGAAGTTGATTTACACCCACTGAGAGGTCATATACGCACGGGTTAAGCGACGGCGACGACAACGAGAACGTCAAAAAACCAATAGGTTGAGTTGGCAAAACAACAACTCTGTGCGTGCATCACGCTTTTTTGTACATTTCTTTGCCGTCACTGCATGACTACGAAGGGAAAATGCCTAATTTCACGTTTTATGGAGGACGTAAACAAACGACGGCTACATTTTTCTAATTCTCTTTCTGAACTTGAATATGGTTCTTGGGAATTCGGCTCAAAAAGAGTTCGCTTGCATTTGACAAAATATAGATTAAAAGAACGCAAAATCACTTTTTATGTGACGTTTTCGTGGCCGTCGCCGTCGTGGTATCTTAAATTCCCTGTTGCCAAAAGATGTGGAAACCATTTGAACCTTGCACGAAACTGAATGACTTGTCTCCTCAAGGGCCTTGTGAAAATGAACGCGATTGTAAGGAAACTTTCTTTTTGAAATGCTATTATAACCGTATTCCCATAAATCCATCAGCTACTTAGGGTAGCTACCGTGGTTTAAGGTTGTACTTTTTGTGATATATAGCTGCAAAAGTATGAAATTACATTCACGCTAAATACCAAGTGACATCAGCTGCATGAAACAAGTTTATTCACAATAATACATAAAAAATTATCGAGAGAATTAATGATACCATGACTGTCTAAAATTATCGGTTTTAGTTCATGATTATTATTCTTACATGTATATTGAGTGTTTTCACTCACGTGGCCAGCATCTAATGCTAATTTATTGGTAACAAAAGAAAGCCTATATATATTCCTGAAGAAAAGGGTTCAACTCGCACAGTATTTGTTTGGAAGACCAACATGCCACGGTTACGTCATGTGAAAACGCTCTACATAACCAAGCTATAAGGAAACACGACTCCACAAACCAAAATAAACCTATCGCTATATATATGTATTTATGCTGAACTGCAGGTGAGCTGCTTTGCATTCCTTTTTTTATTTGTCACTTAAAAACGATAATTCACTTGCAACCAAATTTTTGTACAATCTCCACAGAATGTCATTTCTCTCTAGTGAAGCGTTTCCCCCCGCCAGGCACATAGCTTTAAATACAAATAAACTAAGTTTAAACCCTTCAATGTTTCAAAACAGTCAGATCAAAAAAACTCTCTCAGACCTGGTAGTCCCAAAACTCATAAGATGCCGAGTGGTCATTTGTATTGCAGTGTATGAATCGAAGCCTTCACGACTTCACGTTAGACCCTATTTAGTCTATTTAGCCGGGCTATTTTCCAAAGCGTTCATGACCGCTCCAGCTCTTATTTAAACGTGCCGTAGTTTCAGATTCCTTTGACTAACTTTTTGTGTCAAACTCCGCCGCAAACAATCAATCTCGACAGCTTTGACAAAGCCACCGTCTTTTAAATTTGGCTAATTATATTTTGTTTTACTTGCTAATTCTTTTGTCGACGTATAAATCGACGTAAAAATAGCCAGAGCCTTACTTTTTGCCCCAGCTGCTGTATCCTTTTTTGCGCTCTTTATGTGGCATTTTATATTTCCTTCTTCGTCCGAAAAAATAAAGAGCTTGCCGTTAGATCCTTTCTTTTTCAGGTCTTCAAGGATGTACACAGGTACTTGCCAATCTTTAGGATATCGAGCCTCAATGTCATTCTCATGAAAAGATACCAAACCATTGATAACACGAGTTTTTAACAATAGTAAGTCATTGTCGGCCATCTCTATTTCTTGGTCACCAATGTAAACTAACTGCGCGTTATAACTTGGGACCAACATGATTTTAACCCTGCTTTCATCGATGTGTTTGTTTGTTTCTAGAAGATGTTGTTTAATGTCTTCAGGGATTCCCCGAAATTCATTGCTCAAAAATTTTACATCTGCTGGTTCGAGTGATACGCGGCCAAAGCGTAGTTTGCTCTTCAGCACCAATTTTCCTATCAAACGATTTTGCTTGGTATTATAGGTTGGAGTTGCAACAGGATAGGACTCTCGTCGCTTCTGCATATCATAATTTTCCCACTCATATCCCTGTTTTCTTTCTGGTGGCTGTTCCATGTGACGTCGTTGATCAAAGGAGTGCACAGGGACATTGCTTTGTCCTTGAGCAACACCACGAGGGCTGCTTGGTGGCATCCCAAACGACATGGTTACGGGGCGTTTCAGAAGCTGCACTAAGACATCAGTGTCTACCGATAGTACCCCATCCTTCAACCAAGCTATGAATCCTTTGTCCTTTTCCTCGAACGTACGGTATATTTTTTGATGGATTATCTCTTCGTCCTCCTTAGGCAAAGATAGGCTACCGCAAACCAAAATAACCACCTTTGTAGCTATGAAAAGAGGTAAAACATTATTAAATAAATTAACATGCTATTGCATAATAAGAATCTAACGAGGTTAAACAAACCAAAGAAAATAATTAATTTTATATCTTTTGATTACTTTATCTTTCCGGTCATTCTGGTGGAATTATATGGGAAGCTCCTTGATAAGTAATTACCCTCTGTTCATTACAAATTGTTTGGGGTGCTCCCTGTTAGCCTAAATGACCCCCCCCCCGAAAAGAGATAAATAATAATAACAATAATAGTAATAATAATAATAATAATAATAAGAAGAAGAAGAAGAAGAAGAAGAAACAGAACTCTATCAGTCCTGTCGAGCACCAATGCCAATTTTCAGGTAGGGCTTCCAGTGGTACCTCTTTTCCAGGAAAGCTTTTAGAAACTCTGATGATGCTCAAAAACAATTAGCTGCATTCACATTGAAAGACAGTCAATACCAGTCTTAACCAATTCTAAGAGTTTTTTGGCATATGTATTAGTTATTCAGAGATATAAACAGGCGCTGATCCAGACCGGTTTCCACCGTTTTACAGAAATCGGTCAGATTTTTCATAATAGATATATTTTCAATAAATAAAAAAGTTTCCAAGGTAAATGAAACTGACCAATATCCTGTCGACTGGGTAACCCAGAAAAGGGGACTTAAGGCAGTTAGAAGCTTAACCCTTCAGCTGTCGTTTAGGAAATAGGTCGGTACACAAGGTCAGTATTTATCCTAGATCTGATAAAAGTAAACCAGTATGGCAGAAGCTGAAAAAGAGCTGACATTACCCGAGATTCAGAAAGGAGGGGGCTCTAGAACATTAAAGGATTGATTAGCGAGCGATGGCGCATCCAAAGATAATTGGACGCAAGGCCCAAATGGAGATCTCTTGGAGGGCGGCTTAATTCTGATACCGATAATCTAAGACTTCAGGGAATAAAGATGGTGTTGCGGCAGCACAGTCAATAACATTTTGTGCAGTGTAGTGAAAAGAAAATCCGCCGCCAAGCGCTTCGACTACACGTGTGCTTACTGAACAACTCAAGAGATAGGCCGGATACTACATTTAAGCTCAACTAAATGTCACATCAAAATTGATGGGAAAACGAAAGAAAGACTGAAATCAGTTTTCTTAAAAACAACATTCGTTCACAAACAGAAAAGACAGCTGAAAGTTATGATAGATGCGTCCGAGACATCATGTTTCGACGACATACCCTTTAAGCATTAAAAAAGATGCTAGAACCCGAGAATGATCGGTTTAATTTTAGAGTCCAAACTATCTGTAAGCTGCCTGCTGTACACCCTTTTCCCAGAGCTGCTGGTTAGAGTCCATCCACCGGCCAGACGTTTGAAGAGGTGACTTGGATCCATGCAGGATGGGTGGTGAAAGGTTTGGAAAAATGAATGAATGACCACAAGCAGAGAACAGAAAGTGCCTGTATAGCTGACGTCGCAAGGAAAGAACTGCGAGAGAGACCGTTGGCAACTTCAGATATTCGTGTTATCACAGATGCTGTCACTGAAAAACTTGAAGGAATGTTTCTGTTGACCCTCCATGTTTTCGCCTATCCCCTTTTAAGCCATTTTTTGGCACGCCCAATTTACACGTTCCATTCCTCTGTCTAAAAGGGAAGCCACAATAAAATATCAGGCCGGATTTTTTTTGTTCGACAAGCTTACTTTACGCCACCAGATTTGTCGCCAAGATTTACTTGTGTAAACCAGCCTTTTAAACATACTTTTTTTCATCACGTCTGAGATAAAACGTACTATGAGGCGCTGTTTTTTTTTTATCATACAGACCTCGGACAGAATTTGATTTTTTTTTTTGCCCTCTTTAAACCTATAATTCTGCGGTTTTTCACAGTTTTGCAAGACAAATTGGACTCATTCAATATCTAGGACGATCGATGTACGAACTTCCTCTGCACAACAAATTATAGCGTTGACCACATTATAAAACGTTTTCATGAAGAGAATCCATACCGCCGGGACTTTTCAGTTAGAAAAATCTGGTCCTATGTGATATGCAGGGTAATAAGTATGGGCTTTTAGTGAAAACGATAAAAAAATTCTCAAAATCACCTTTTCGGCCAGCCGGACGAGTTCCCACTTTTGACAAGCACCAAATTTGCAGTGCGAATAATAGAGTTACCATTTAAGCTTCAACATGATAGAGAATTTGCTATGTTTAGGGTTTATTTCCCTTTATTTATGAAACTGTTAATGGTTTTGTTATGTTTAATCTTTTAAAGCGAGTGATATTTACGCGCGGCGTTTTGAGTATTCCTGCATGCGATGTTTATGCACTACTGAAAACAACCGGTGCAGCGATGAAAATTGCGAGAGGGACCACTAGCAATCCATAAAATAAATATAGGCCGGTGAAACATGTACAGAGACAATAATTTTCATTCATGAAGACAAGTATTGATGGTAAAGTGTCTCTGAAAATCATGAATCAGGTAAGCATAAGCTTATTTATGTCTTAAACCGGCTTCCCGGTGTTTGCTCTTTTTCAAGATGAACTCGAGGCAAGAAAATCGCTCAGAGCTTTCTTATTACAGCCAAAATCATAACTAAATATTCTTCGGAACGTTTTTTTTCATTTAATTTGCGGTCAAAAAATGTCTAAAGGCTTTTTAAACCTCATACTATTGTAGGTTATAAACTACTCATGTATAAACTTAAGCCGCATAAACTACGCCAGGAAACCGAAACCAAAAAAACACATCAAAGACAATAATTGCTCAGGCTTACCAGTCGAGATCCTGCTCCTGAAGGTCATCAAGTCAGGCCAGAATCGCTTGAGACTTTCCAACCCTCTTTGTACGCCTCGAGCAAGGGCAAGTGACTAAGCTCATTTTTGAAAACTATGCCATCCGAAATCGGATTTCCAATGACTTTGACAAGCGGTGCATTTCTCAACCAAAAGCGCAATAAACAAACCAGCCATGAATTACACAGAACAATCTTGTTAGCAGCTCTATTTCATTTAGTACATCAAGTAGAAAAAGACAGTTAAAAACATCACAAGAAGACACAAAGCCTTTCAGCTTCAGGTACCAGTAAGCAAGTCTCCGGACGCTGCATAAATTTTCCGCATAAACTCACCTGTCAAATTTTGACCAATCAGAGCATAAAAATTGGACGTAGAGCGTATTCAACGTGAGAAAGGTCAAAAGCGATTGCCCTCCCTGCATGAAAAAGCCGGTTGAATTTTCGCGTCCGAGATCAGTTTGAAATCAAAATTTTAAAAGTGCGGCTCATGAACACGACTTATTTTATATGCAATTCAAAAAAAATTGAACTTGAGCCTGCGATCATTTGAAAAGTAGCAACGTTTCGCCCAAAGAGGGCGAAACAGCTTTCTATGGCTACAATCCCGCTCTGTCTGAGTTCTTTTGGTGTCGTGTTGATGTCTTGCAGAGTTAATTTTCACGTAGTATGATCAGCATTGCAGTATTCTGCTTGCAGAATTTAATATGTCTACTTTTCATTTTTGCTGATCAGGTCTTTATAAATCCTACGATATTTTCACATTTGGAATTAACACTTTTCTTACCAACTCTCTCCACTGCAGTTCTCAGAAGGTCTACATATTCAACTTTTCGTGCAGGTAGATTCTCATAGGCGTCTTTTACTGTTTCCCCATCGACCACCAAAACACAGAACTGGAGCGAGTGTCTTTCCAAGTACTGCTTAACTTGTTTGGCAGTTGTAAGGTTTATAACTGGCAACTGTGAATGAAGATTCAGTTCACGGCGAATGCTTTCAAGAACTTGTTTTACAGCGTTTATGGCTTCCTCGGAAACGCTACAACCGAGAAGTGCCAAGCCTGAAGGTAAAAGGAAACACAGTGACACCTTCAATGTGCTAAAGCATGATGGTAAAAGGAGAAAAGGGAAGGACAACTAAGGGCAGCAGTATCTTGTCAGTATCTGTTTGTTCAAAAATGCACTACTCGAAAGTACTTTCCATTTGAAACTTATTGAACTACTTGTTCTCTTCCATGTTTAACGCTCGAACTGACAAGAGTTTCAAAGCCTGGCGGTAAGATAAGAGATAAGATTAATGTTATTTAAACACGCTAGCCTAGATCAACTGGTTTTCAGTAGGGGCTTGCAAAACTAGAAAACTAATGGTATAGTAAGCACAAAGTATGAAATTGTGCAATGTAAAGTACACGATACAATTATTGCAAACTTTATATTCCGGCTATACATTAAGTACTCTAAAAGAGAGTTATAGAATCTAAGTTAAACTTTTATATTACTTATGATAATAAATCAAAATACTACTCCTTCTATGTTCTAATTAAGACCGATTGGATTTGATTCTAGCGTTAATTTGTAAATGACGCGAGGGCCTCCCAACTTCGGATCTACTGTGCTAAATCATTCCATATCTTGGCTCCATTGTAACTTAGACTGTTTTTTTGAATCTCTTTGGCGAAAAAGAAAGGCAACCATAATTTTTAACTAAATTTCTAAGATTTTAATCACCGGTTGTTGCGTGGGCTTCTGTAAAGATATTTGATAGTCTGGCTGGTGCGCCAAGCCATGAAGAATTTTAAACATTACTTTATTTTTGTTTTTCCACTTTGTTGGGCAAGACAGATTCTAACTAGAGCTTCCATAGCAATTTCTAATTGACCACATTCGTTTCTGCAGTTGATATAATCGACCCTCATAATCTGCACCCTTGTACGCCTATTCTGAAGCCTCTGCAATCTCCGGGCAAGGCACTCACTCGTGTATATAATGATCTCGCTTCACATCGTCGCCCTCCAGCCAGCCCGAGCACTATATCAAAACTCTTAATGTTCTATGTTTCTTTCATGATAAGTTGTTACCTATCATTGATGTAAAAGATTTTCAATTTAAAGATGTCTTGTTGAAATTCCGCGGAAAATTGCTTTAAAAGTACATAAGCAGTCGAAATTGGTTAAAACTTAACGGTTGATAAATGCTGACTGCAAAATTTGCTAACCTCCCTTAGGTTCCAGTGACGGTGTTGTAAACGACGTTGTTCCCCCAGGTTTAGTCTCCGGGCTTTGGATGTTAGCCGGTCTACCAGTGCCTCCAGTACTGAATTCTGGAGCTTTCTCCCCTGGGGGAATCTGTGTCCCTCCCTTAGAGGCGACGTTTTCGTGTGATGAGTTCAAACGGTTTAGAGCCATTGTTGATCCTATAGGCCTTTGAGGCCCAGCCCATTGGCTTCCGATACCTGCTCCGCCAATTCCTCCAGTTTTGTAACTTTGATCACTTTGGCCGTAAGGAGGAATTTGCGTCCCTTCCATGGAAGATTGCCTTGCTACTACTGACTGATTCAACGTTGAAGTTGTAGGAGGATCCACTTGAGACGGGGATCCACTTCCCTTTGACATTGTAGGTTTTGGGACAGCCTCCCGTTGTGGAGGATGATATTTAAAAGTCTGTCCTTTCTTGTCCGGGTCAAAGAAATGCACCAGTGCTTTCTCGTGAATTTTTCTGTGTTTCGCGTCCCAAGAGAAGATAAAACTTTTTCTTCCATCCAAGAATTCTTCGGTAAACTGCGAAGATATCTTTCTTTTGGCCCATCGTGAAATGAACTCTTTGTCTTCCTCGTCTTCGTTCTTGTAATTATCGTCTCCACCAATAACGATCATAACTCTATTGCCTGTAAAGGATGTATAATATATAGATTTAGCCAGGGCTAAAAGCGAAGCTCCCGTTAATAAATTCATAATTTAAATCAAACAATACACTTGTAATCGACAGATCAGGGCACATTCATTTGACTTTTGAGGCAAAGGCTGAGTGATTTTAGAGAAAAATCAGAATTTGACCGTCCAAGAGTGAAACAAATTTTACATCAAGTTATTTGTACACCGAAAAATAGCAATCATGTTCGATCACTGTGGATTAAGCCTGGAAAACAAATAGACCTATATTGTATTTGTACTAGCTGTAGCATCATAATGTGGCATTCACCAGTCTCTCCAACATTGCTCCGTTAGAGAGACTATGGATAATTGGGCAACCCCGAAATATAATTTTAAGAAACACATGCGCCACGATTAGGCAACTTTCGATATATTAAAATTCAGCATGACAACGAGTCTTAGAGGACACAAACAAAAAAAATGAATAAACCATGATTATTCATGTTTATTCATTTTCTTTGTTTGTGTCCTCTAAGACTCGCTATCAAGCTGAATTTCAATATATCGAAAGTAGCTTAATAAGCTACTTTCGAAGAGAAGCCAAAATAAAAATCAGGCCGGATTTTTTGTGTTCGACAAGTTTAGTTTACTAGTAAATCTTGGCGACGAATCTGGTGGCGTGTAAACCAGCCCTTTAAACATACTTTCTCTCATCACGTCTCAGGTAAACAGTACACAGATCTCGGACAGAATTTGTTCTTTTTTACCCTATTTAAACCTATAATTCTGCAGTTTTTCACAATTTTGCAAGAGAATTTGCACTCATTCAATATCCACGTCGATCAAAGCACGCGCTTCCTTTGCACAACAAATTATAGCATTGAATTATAAAACGTTTTCTGTTAGAAAAATCTGGTCCTATATATATGTGATATGCAAAATCACTTTTCGGCCAGCCGGACGGGTTCTCACTTTTGACAGGCACCAAATTTGCAGTGCGATTAATAGAGTTACTATTTACGCTTCAACATGATAGAGAAATTGTTATGTTTAGGTTTTATTTCCCTTTACTCATTAAACTGCGTATGATTCTGCTATGTGTAATCTTTAAAAGCGAGTGATATTTACGCGCGGCGTTTTGAGTATTCCTACATGCGATGTTTATGTTCGACTGGAAACAACCGGTGCAGCGATGAAAATTGCGAGACGCCGGACTACTAACAATCAATAAAATAAGTTTAATTCGGTGAAACATGTACAGAGACAATAATTTTCATTCACGAAGAGAAGTATTGAGAGTAAAGTGTCTCAGAAAATAATGAGTTAGGCAAGCATAAGCTCATTTATGTTTTAAGCCGGCTTCCCGGTGTTCGCTCTTTTTCAAGATGAACTCGAGGCAAGAAAATCGCTCACAGCTTTCTGTTTAAAGCCAAAATCATAACTAAATAATCTTCGGAACCTTTTCTTTGAATTTGCGGGTCAAAAAATGTCTAAAGGCTTTTTAAACCTGATACTATTGTAGGTTAGATCATTGCTCGTGTTTTAATTTAAGCCGCATGAACCATACGCTCGACTTCAGGAAACCGAAAAAAAAAACACATCAAAAACAATAATGGCTCAGGCTTACCAGTCGAGATGCTGCTTCTGAAGGTCATCAAGTGTTCCAGAATCGCTTGAGACTTTTCAACCTTCTTACGCCTCTAGCAAGGGCAAGTGAGTAAGCTCATTTTTGAAAACGATGCCATCCGAAATCGGATTTCCAATGACTTTGACAAGCGGTGCATTTGTCAACAAAAAGCGCAATAAACAAACCAACCACGAATTACAGAACAATCTTGATAGCAGCTGTATTTCATTTTGTACACCAAGTAGAAAAAGACAGTTTAAAACATCACAAGATGACACAAAACTCTCGCAGCTCCAGCTATCGGTAGCAAGTCTCCAGACGCTGCATAAATTTTCCGCATAAACTCACCTGTCAAATTTTGACCAATCAGAACATAAAAGTTGGACGTAGAGCGTGATCAACGCGTGACAGTGAGAAAAGTCAAAAGCGATTGCCTTCCCTGCATGTAAATGTAAAAGCCGGTTGAGTTTTCGTGTCCGAGATCAGTTCGAAATCAACATTTTAAAAGTACGGCTCATGAAACACGACTTACTTCATATGCATTTTAAAAAAATTGAACTTGAGCCTGCGATCATTTGAAAAGTATCAACTTGTCAGCGGATGCCTTCAAAATATTACTCGAACTCAGAGGGTCGATACCTGAGCCCGCGATGCGGTCAGGCGATACTGGTCAGCAGAAACACTGTTTTGACAGCTGTCAATTAATCAAAACATGGATGTACAATATCAGGTTGCAGGCTCCCAAACTAGCTAGAAAGTGTGAGATTAAACATTGGTATGCCTGTGGTGTGGACGGACGGAAGGTCGGGTGGTCGGTGTACGGTCACGTGATTGCCTAATTTTCTAGGATGGATAGATTTTCTATAAAGCTATGGGGCTTCGAATTGAGCCCGAGATCAAATAAAATATCAGCGCAAAACTTTAAACACTAGGTGACCTCAATAGATAGAAAAATGAGCCCGCGATCCACTCAGGTGATGATGGTCAGCATATACTCTAGTTTGACAGCGGTCAATTAACCTTCATTAGAATGGCGAATATTTGAATTAACAGACTACGAGTGTGAGTAGGACATTTCCGTCCGGCATATAGTGGAAAATGCCAGATCGTGTACCTGAGCGAACCTGAGTCCTCGTTTTTAGTTTTCTGATAGTGGTCTGCACATGTCCCATTTTGACAGCTGTCAATTGACCTTAATTCGGCTTGCAAATGTAGCTTAAAACGACTGTCAGCCAACTGACAGCCTTGCCCGGCGTAGTTTTCGTTTTTATGTTGAATTGGTAAGTGTGACATATTATATCAGCTTATATATAGGGGCAAAACGACTGGTCTTTTATCTGAGCCCGCGAGACGGTCACGTGATAATTGTCAGCGGATGTCTGATTTTGACAGCTGTCAATCTAATCGTACTCATACGGATGGCTTACATAACTAAGAGGCTAGTCAAGTTGTGCAAGATCTATTGTGACATTTGTCATCGGCTTACATGAAGTGTGTGTACGGACGGGCGGGCGTACGCTACGTCATAACCAAATTTTCTGGGATGGATAGTTTACCAAATTTTCTTACCCATGGTGCTCCGCTGCGCGTGCGCTTCGCGCGCGCGGGAGCTCCGCTATTAATTTGTAGTTCAATCTGGCACCAGTTCGTTATTGCTGGTTTTCAGTGTCACGTCATTCAAAATGGATCAAAATAAAAATCAAAACCGTTCAATAGATAAAGTCCAGAATCTGGGAAATGAAAGGAGGTACATATACAAAGACCTTCGCCAAGATTCAGGTCAGAGGAATATTTCGTACACGAGATATTTGAAGAAGTGTTTTACCCAAACTTATAGAGATTTGTATGGAGACGCCATGCTGGTGCTCACCTGGATGAGCTCCAACATGGCGGACGGAAACCAAAGGAAACATCTGTTACCGAGTTTTGCTACAAAAGCGTGAATTTATGCTTCGAGAAACTCATAAACATTAAAATAATTCTTTTTCTAATACATGAACTGTTTAGATAGCAAAATTTCCTGAAATAGGTCATTTTTTTAACCTACATGACAGCTCTCTTGGCCGTCATGTAAATGCCACGTCACGCAAAAGCTTAGAAATTCAAGCGTACTCTATCACAAAACCAAGAACTTTTTGAAAAGAAAATTAGTATGAAAATTAGTTTTCAGCTGTTCTACTGCATCGTGAAAGTAAAATCTCGGTAGGATCGATAGTTTTTTAGTTTGAATATTAGTGACGTCATGCGTAAACCAACAATACATTGGCCGACAAACGACCCCTTTACGGATACAATATTCGCAAGTATGTTCCTCAGGTCAAACATGGTCTGTTATAAGTTTCCCCCATCCCGACTAGTCGAAAAACAAAGCCCCTCTCCCCCCTGACAAATTAACCACTTTCGCATCTGAGACACTTCCGGCAAGCTAAATTTTGGCTCAGTTTCACTAAGATTTCCGTGTATAAAAACTTTCAATATAAACTAGATAGTAAACTTCCTCCTATTTGCATAGCATAGGACTATGTTTTTACTGGTTATTCTTTACCTGTTTTCTGTAGCAAAGCTCGGTAAAGCTTAGCGTATCCAATACCAGCGTTCTCTTCGTTGATGGAGAGCCGAGATTCATGTGCATGCACAACAAACACTGCTACGTCCATCTCAAGCTCCGGGATGTCTTTATCACTTAACTGATTCATCCCAGAAAGCGAAAAGTAGTGGGACACTACGTCAGATGGATTTGTGACGGCGTTCAACCAATCTTCGACGATATTTAGCTTATATGTATGGTCACAGTTAAAAAGATGAATTCTTAGTTGCTTTGACATTGTCTCTGCTTGTTTAGTTGATTTTTCTCGGTTTTGTCGTTTCCCTTTCGCCTTCAAATGTACAGGTCTTCTCAGTGTCTTCCGTCTTCTAAATCAACAGTCAAGCCAATGAATAACCTCGCAATCTTTCCGAGAAAGCTTGCGTACGTCACGCTCGGATTATTAACACACAACAGCGACCACTTGAACTGTCACATATATTACAGCCTGTCAATTGTGTAACAATTTCCCAGAAAAAGATTGAAAACAAACACCAAAAAATATATAATCAAAGAAACTAACCCCAACAACAATGACACGTGATCTCTTTCTTAGAAAACGCAAGGTTATCCAGTGGGAGAATTCCCTATTTGTGAATGAATAGTTGTGCGGTCCACTTCGCCATTTATTCACACTGCCTTCATAAGTCGCTGCGAAGATAGGATCTTGAAAATGGGGGTGAGTCTGCCAAACTTTACTTTTCAAGAGCGTTTAAACAGCGTAAGCTTATAGCCTTAGCCGCGTCCCAACTATCTAAGACAGTCTCATTTAGTGACTTCTGTTAAAATAGCTTACTTTACTGGTGACTTCTACATGTTGTCACAGAAGCCGGAATTTTCATTGTTTAGCTCTATGAACGAGTTTCTTTTCAGCTTCACGAACTTTTCTTTGTACAGCACGTTACTGCCGGTAGGTAACCCGTGTACAGCTCGTGGTTTTCATTTTCAAAATCATTGCAAAACCATTTTGAGTTGAAACGGAACGAAGGACTCGTAGCGAGAGCAAAAACGCAATCGAAAGGGTTTGAAAAGTCCTTTCCATGGGAACACTCAGCTCACTGGATTCACACTGGATTGGATTTAATCCTGATAAGTTTCTTTTTCTCTGTGATTTACAAAGCACTACTTAAAGTTTTGAGACACCAAGTGTTCCGTATTTTCCGAGAAGTAGGCCTTACACGCGCACGAGCTTAGTTCTTTGTTGTTTTCTGTTTTCTTTCATTTTCAAAGGTTTATGCTCAAAATAAGAATTTAAATCGAAATATACGCCGATGATGAATTCGAGTAGTTTTTCTTTGCAGAGTATCTCGATTCGCTAGTATTTAAGGGCAGGGAAATTATTGACCGGCTCGCTTCCGGCTTTCACTTTCAAATCTACTTGGGGAGGGTTGAGGATCAGTTAACGCCTTCCGGCTTCACTTTCGCTTTTTAATGTTAGTGACATGGGGGAGAGGTGGGTGGGGGGGGGGGGTTGAATAATCCCCTGCAATAACTGCCATTCACTTCCGGGCTTGTCTTTCACTTTTGAGCATGAAATTAAGAGGATGAAGGTCAAGGGATGACTATGCACTATCTGATTTATCTTAAAGGTAATCTAAGGTGGCAAATGGAAGTTTCGTACCTAATGGGATAATTAAAAAACCTTACAAATACTTCCGGTCGCTCGCTTGCTTAATTTCAGTTTCGTGACTAAGCTGCAGTGGAACCTCGATTTAACGAAGTGCCAAGTGACCGGACTGGGGAAATTTGTTCGCTATGTCGAGGGTTCTTTATATCGAACACCTCGATTTAAGGAATTTTAATTTGCTTTTTACGCCTCAGTGCTGAGCTGTATATAGCTACGGCACTAAAAACTCACAGACAGGCAAACAAAAACCGCTTAAAACTACTGTGCACGTAAATTTTATCCTTTTTAGTATGTTTGGCGTTCATCTTTTATCACATGTTGACATTTAGTCCGGTTATATCGAGGTATATTTTATGACTGCTCTTCTGGATTGTGCGTTCGTTATAACGAGGATTTCGTTATATGGAGGTTCTGTTTCATACATTTTATTGAAATTTTAGCCGGGCTGAAGAAAATTGTTTGTTATACCGAGTACTTCGTTACATAGAGGTTCGGTACACGGTATAAAAGGTTTTGCAACCTCGACAGCACTAAAAATCTGTAGTAGTTAAGAAGTGGTCGTTTTTAAGAGGTTTTGAGAAAGGATGATAAGACGCTTATTTACGTTTGGTTAAATCATGGTTATCCATCCGGACAGGCACTTGATCGATTAACTTTTCGAGACTCCACGATAAGTGGGTATAGGGACTGCTCTTTACATTGGAATTAGGATTACATTCAGGGGCACCCATCAGCGATTTTCTCCTAAAGACGTTGAAAACACTTTTCGGCCTATCCAGAGTAGTTTTAGAACTCTAGAAATACATTCTAAGCGGCGCTATAAAATTTGTATCTGTTCGGTCATCCTAGGGGACCTGGAGTCTTTTCGAAATTGCAAGGGCTGTACAGCCCCCGAAACGATCCCGACCCCGAAATGATCCCCAACCCTGAAATGATCCCCAAATTGATTCCGAAATGATCCCCATTTCTCTTCACGTCGACCCCGAAATGATCCCCATTTAATTTTAGGAATGGAATGATATCCTAGAACTATGGATCGTGCAAAATGCACAACATTATAACTTAAGCTTCACTAATAATCTTCACTTGCCCACATGACATTAATTTGGGATTACACTTTGAACTGGATTAAACAAGAATATTATTATCAAAAAAATACACAAAGTCTAGTATATTTTTACGAAAACCATGAACTGCAACTGATAATATCAAGAAACACAACATTTTTTTAAAATTATTACTTAGGTGATTATAGCCCGGGTTATAGAGAAAACTGCATAGATGTTAAATTCTTAAAATGATGTTAAAACTGCATGCCTTGGATATTGAGTTTTAAAAATGGTGTTTTAACACTGTTTAAAATCTTAAAATGATGTTGAAGATGCAAAAGTATACATAAAGGCGATTAGATGACAAAAGCGCTAAAAAAATCACATAAACTCAGTGCAGCGAAATGTTTAATTAAAGTAAAAAAAAAACAATGCAAATACAGTGTACAATCAATCTTGCTCAACGTCGGATCCAAAAAGATCGTGATCAGTCAAAACAGATCAAATTGAAAACGTTACAGTCAAGAAGACTTTAGCAGGTTTCAGTCTGAGTCTTGGGTTTGTTTGTAAGTGCGTCAGTGCGAAGAATGTCGGAAGCTCGTTGTATTTGGATCTTAAGAAAGGTTTTGTCGTAGCCGCGATTACACTTTTCATTCTACAGGTGAAACCCTACTGGTAATTACATCCATACTGCAGTTTCAGAACACTTTCTAACCAGTAATCATTCCGACAATCATATGCTTTTGATTCCTATTGAAAAACTTAAAAATGGGCGTGATTCTTTCAGGAAAGCACGTAAAGCCCATCTTATCCATAAAGCTAAGACAATTGAGCCTCTGGGCATCAATAAACATGATGAACTGTAACTATATACATAGTATATCTTTTATTTTTTTGTTATATCGTCTTTTAAAGTAGCCATCATACCACGTCATATTGCGTAATTTCCGGTCATAATTTTACTTTATATATATTTCTGTGAATTCGTGATATCTCAATAAACCTGATGAAGACTAGTATTGGCCAGTCGAAATATCGCAACTAAACTCTATTTCACTTTGTTTGGTCAGTCGCTGCTAAAGTCTTCTGGAGTCAGACTCGTACCCAGACGCTAGTTAAGTGTTTGTTTGGGATGAGAGAAGATTGGGGATTAGGTTGAGGCGCGCGCGGGGTCTCATGGGAACGGAGGAAGGAAAAATTCTGTTCTTGACTGTAACGTTTTCAATTTGTAGGGAAATGTTAAACGCGATTTAAGAACGTAAACGCTGCAACAGATTTGTAATAACTGCGTGACGGAATACAAGTTCCATTCCAAGAATTAACTGGGCGTGATTTCGGGGTCGACGTGAAGAGAAATGGAGATCATTTCGGGGTCGATTTGGGGATCATTTCAGGGTTGGGGATCATTTCGGGGGCTGTACAGGGCTTCAGACTTATTTTACCGAAAATTTTCGCTGCAATTTATCCTTTTACGAAAGTGAGAAGTTTTCTGATTCTTCTCTCAATCACATTTTTGAATCCGAAAATTTTAGGTTTACTTTTTCTATGAAAAACAGCATTTCTTGGGGAGTGAAATGTGAAAAATTAAGCTTTAGAAAATTGTAGGGAATTTTTTACGAAAGTTTCGAAAATTGTACATGAATTGAACGGTCATCTAGAAACTTGTAGCCGTCCCCAAGCAATAGAAAATTCAAGGCAACATTTGCTTCTGCGAACAGACATTTTACAGAAAGCAGTCGTTGGGTGCCCATTGTCATAGTTAACACGCGACTCTCGCAGTCAACGTGTTATAACTCAATCAAGAGCCGACCAGGCATTGAGTTCATAATGAAATCTCACGCTCACAACGGCTAAACTGATTTGGTGAATTGATTTTCTGTGCGCTTTAAATATTGAAAGCGTCTGAAGCAATCATGTAAAACAGAGAATAGTAAGACCATTTGTTAATTTTCAGTTTAGAACCGTCCTCGATCGTCATAATTTTTAAGCACCTTGTTTTTATTTTGTAAAATGGTTCCACACTAGAAAAGTATCAACGCCATCTTTTTTCGTGCTGATTTGCTTTTTAGAAAAAAAGGGCTTTCTTTGAGGGCCGATGGATTTAGCACGAAAGTGCTAATTTGGGACACTATTTTTACGTCTCCTACTGGAGACGGGGCCGCCATTTTAGGTGGCACCCGAACCACGCGAAGGTCGAGCCGCTTGCAGTGCAAAGGGAGTACCTTCATTTCTCAGTTGACCCTGAGTAATGGTCCGGCCCTGTAAAATCGACTGAGCTAATCCTGCCGCGGCTAAAAACCCGTTCACACCTGTAATGACCCTTGTAATAAGCAGTCAGACCGCTTGATGCAGGTTAAAAACTTCCATTTTCTTTTTTTTATGTAGGGTAGTTCAAGCCATGAAACGCAGTATACTTACGTGGACAACACAGAGAGTCAAAGAGAGGAAGCAAGGCAGTTGGAACAGAGAAGGCTGGAAAATGAACGGAGACAAAGGGAGGCTCAAGAAAGGCTGCGCATACAGGAAGAAAAACGACGAGAGGAAGAGAGAAGGCGAGCGGAGTATCAGCAACAGCGGCAACGAGAGGTAGAAGAAGAAGAAGCGAGGAAGAGAGAAGAGGAAGAAAAGCGCTTGCGTTTGGAGAACGAATTGTGCCTCCGTCGAGCTGAGCTGTTTGACTACAAATTTGGTAACAAGATTAAACTAGATAGTTTCAAAGGCCTGGCAATAGATGATGTGACACAACTCAGAATCGGTGTGTTTGGACCCACCGGATCGGGCAAGAGCTGCTTTATCAACACGTGTGAACGAGCTGTGAGGCAAACGGATAAGGGTACAGCTCCTGACAGCACCACAGGGCAAGAAGGGACCATCACTCTTCAAGATTATCTCCCTGAGTTATTCTTCCACTTGGTTGATACACGTGGTTTCTTCAACTACAACGCTAACGAAACCGTGGAATTTAAGAACATCTTGCATGGAAAGATACAACCCGGGGATAATGTGGTCCGTCCTAAAGAAGACCAAGAAGATGTTCCAGCTATGGACCTTCACACATGTGCCCCATTTGCCAATCGACTGCATGGTATCATCATTGTTGCCAAGGCGAATGACCCGCGACTGAAGGAGGGTGCCTTAAAGGATTACCTAAAACCAGTTCGAGATATTCTGCGTAGAACTGGTAAATTGTTTTCTAATGCTGATAATCAATAGGACACCAATGCAGACAGAAACCGGCAAAGTAGTTTTCCATACAAATCCTTGTCAATTCTAAAATTTTTAAACTGACGTTTAATCTTTTCCTTACGCATTTAAGGGCTCAAATTGCCTGTTATGAAGAATTAAAAGGAGATCTGAACGCCGTAATGATTAAGGAAATATTTCATGACAGTTTTGACAAATGCAAAATTTGCAAGGGTTTCTCCGCGGAAAACAATGCAAGCGTGACTGGGTGGCAAAAGTTGTTTCTCTCATTTTGATCGGCGGCCGTCTCAATTACTAGGAGATATAAAGCTGAAATTCTCAGGTTACCTAATTTTAATATGCTCTTTCAGGTTGTGCTAACAAAAGTTTTCAAAAGTTAACTGTTTTCGTGTTTACCGAAAGCTGATCACGTGATCAACTCGTGCCTGAAGGGCCTTTATATTAATTTCGCCCAAATTAAAGAATTAAGGAAAAGAATTATCAGCAAGAGTTAACAATTTATCATGTGATATCCTTTTATTAGAGGTTATGGTTGTGGCTGTGAAGCCCTCACTTAGATTGTAAAGACTTTCTTTGTTAGCCAGAGAAGGGGTATACTGTAGGCTTGTAGCTGTGCAAAAAAAGGCTGTCATGACAAAAGCAGCTTGTATAGGTTCAGGATTTTATAAACGGCCCTGTTGCTGACCTCAGCTTACAAAATGTTATTTGTTAGTGTAAGGCATAGGTATGGTTGGGAGGATGATATTCAGTTTCAAATTGCGCCTGAGATCGTTATATATATTCCTAAGATGTGTGACCAAGAACAAGAGCACAGGGCTCTGAAGCTTAAGAAAAGGAACTATTCCATTTTAAAAAAAACTATTAGACTAGGGAGACTGATAGACCCGCAAAAATCATATCAGTATCTGTTGTGAGAGACCAGTTTTATTGCTTGAACCCTTGAAGTTCTGCTTTGTCTCCTTTCACAATCCTTTACCAATCTATTCATTTCTTTTTGCTCCCACAAAAGGAATAGCACCCATCACTGTTGTTACGCACCGTGACAAACTGAGGACAGAAGAGGATTGTGAAAATGCCCTTTACGAAGCTTCAGCGGCTACTGGCAGTTCACCCAGTCACACTTTCTTTGTGTCTAACTACTGTAAAGACAACATCACATGCAATCCAGAAACAGAGCGCATGACCTTCGACATTCTACACTACGCGCTGTTGACGGCTGAGAGAGCTGTGAAGATCATGAAACAGAAACAGAGAAACGAAGAAGAGGATGAGATGATGCGCGCGCTTGAAGGAACTAATGTCAGCGGACAAGTTGCGCCGGACTCCGCGGACGGTAATCAACAAACTTTTATTTCCTGTACATAATATGTAAGATAGTGCTGGCCCGCAAAGTAGCATCAACTAATTGAGACGGGTCAGGCACAGATACAAAACAATTATTCACCGTAGTGGAGGTGACTAGTGGTGGTATATTTACCTCGTTTTTTCAGGTTATGCTAATTTTTCCAAATTAATGCGGACCATACATACCTCCATGACTAGTACTTTAGAACAAAGTGTTGGGTTAGACGTGTGGCATGTGGGCTTTTTTCCAGAATCTTATATAACCTCGTTTCTGTCTCAATAGTCTGGTTCGCGCTTTACGTATTTACTGGACTCTCAAACTCCTTCATGCAGAGTTTTCTGTCGAGGCGATTTCAAATTAATGCTGGTCCAACATCAGTGGCGGATCCGGACCTTGAGATAAGGGAGGGAGGGAGCCTGGTCATTCAGACCCTTGGACAAGGGGGGGATGGTCTCCCCCCCCAAAAAAATTTTTTCGTCCCTTCGGGCCTTAGTTTGGTCTAAAATTAAGAGGGGGACCGGCCCCCCCGGGCCCCTCCCTGGATCCACCACTGAACATTATCAAATAATGATGCTTGAGCCCCTTATTAGGCGTTGTTGGATGTCGCTGGACAAAGTGGGATGAGCTGTAAATGTGATAAAACGTTTGTGCTCGATTTTTCTGTTGTACAGAGTTAATATTGGAAAAATGTGTTTCAGTCAGGCCTGTTTCAAACGTCGTGCTACTGCCGTGCTAAGTTGGCTCGACTGTAGCTCGACTCCAGCACCCGGACACAACCACGACTTGGTTTCAGACGTCAAAATTAATTCTTTCGAATAGAACGGCTATTTGCGAAAACAAAACACAAAAATAAAGGAACAGTTTAGCAAACTTTTAAATGTGTTGTCAGGTAATATATTTATAATTTATGAATTGAGTTCGGCACGGCAGTAGCGCGACGTTTGAAACCAAGTACACGGCAGTAGCCCGACTTGGTTTCAAGCGTCGCGCTCCTGCCATGCTTAAGTCAATAATACGATCAACTTAGTTCGCAACGGTGAGTAGCGCGACGTTTGAAACGGGACTCAGTGTCACAGGCGCCTCCTAAGAAGAATTCCCAGTAGTCACAACAAGAGTCGAACCTTTGCCCTCTGGTTATGTTTACTAGTCCAGATGCTCTACCACTGAGCCGCAGGGGACTCGTAAGAGCTAAAGCCTGGTTTTCACTAGCGCATAAGTATAAGCATAAGCACATGTGTAAGCAAGTGAAAACTGGTCGACATAAGCATAATCACATATGTGTAAGCAAGTGAAAACTGAGTCGTCATAAGCAGGGCATAAGCACAAGAAAAACGGACAAGGTCGTTCTTTGTGCTTGTGCTTATGGTTATGTCGTAGCTTTGACAAGTGAAAACTGGGTTGACATTAGCACAAGCATTAGCACAAGGCCGTGGACCAATCACTTTGACCCAGACCTCGTGCGAACATATGAAAAGCAATATGGTGGACACTCCGTTCGCCATCTTGTTTATCATTGGGTTGAGTGGAGCTGGTATGGAGAATTGAGTCAAATATGCCATTCTGCGCGTGCTTATGCTTATGGTTATACGCTAGTGAAAACCTGGCTTAAGGTCACTAAAGCCTAAGCCAAAAGTTGAACTTTTCATGAGACCAACCAAACCCTGATATGGGTCGACCTAAATGAACTTAAGATCGTCTGTAGGGTCAGACGTCGAACTTAGGACGCGTCGAACCAATCAACTGAATCAGACCAAAAAGCGGTTGGTAAATTTTCTCCCCAACGAGGCTAAGTATACATTATCATAAGTATATCATTATCGTACTAAGTATACATTATCATGCAATTTTAATTTATTAGTTTAGTTTGTCGCATATGAAGATGGACGTTTGACGCGGAGACGATCTTCAGACGTTCTATCCGTCAAACTCATTCAGACGAACTTAACTGAGCCAGACGTCGAACTTTTACTAAGCTTGTGTAAGGAAGATTGAAAATCCTACGCAGCGTAGTTACTTAATGTTAATTTGAAAATTGTAAAATCGACGCTGTTATTTTAAGAGTCTTTTTTTCACTAAGATTGGTTCGTCTCTTGAAAGTTCGAAGTTTGGTCTATGCCATGACTAGGTGTATCACTGTGTCACCGAATGGAAAAAATGTTCTCCTGTATTCACAAGGCTTAAATAAAAAAAACCATCATATTTCTACCATCCAGCATTGTTGAACCATTAGAGCGCTTCAACAATGTAGCTGATACAGTTTCAACTCAGACTCAAGCTAAATATCTTTTCTGCTTTCTTTCTATAACAGCTTCTGTTCAGATGTTCCTTCGTTTTCTGCAAAATGAGTACCAGTGGGGTTCCAACAGCGTGAAGGCAGTGTTAAACGAGCTGTCTAAGGCTGACGTCACAAGCGTCAGTCTGCTGGCCATGTGTTGGAGTGACGTGCAGGCTCATTTTCCTTTTGGAATGAGGAGAATGGTGGAGAAAGAACTAAAGAACAGAAACATGATCCCTTAGGAAGGCCAAGTTTTCAAGGCATGGGAAACCAAAGTAGTTCCTTGCAATTATACGGCCGTCTTTTTAAACTTTATTCAGATTTTTAAGAGAGTGTGTCTCCGCAGTTAGCCAACATTGTTTAAATTTGCCAATTACTCTCTCTCTAATGAAACTTAAAGAGTAGAAATAAGTTTTTACTGCGCTTTTCACAAACATGTGAATGCTGAAGTTCAAAAGCTACGGTGGCCCAGAAGGGTCACACATGCAAATTAAAAATGTTGCTGGAAACTAAAAAGTTTACCTGCAAATTAAATATGTTGCTGCACATTAAAAATAGTACATGTAAATTAAAAATTGTACATGCAAACTAAAAATATCATCTGCAAATTAAATATAGTACATGCAAACTAAAAATTGTGCTGCAAATTAAAAATAAAAAGTCCTGCGCGCGCAGTATGAGTGATGACGACCTGGTCCGAGTCGTGCGACCTGGCCTTACAGCAGTCGGCCCATTCATGTTTCATGTTTGTAATATTTTTAGTTTGCGTGTACAATTTTTAATTTGCATGTACTATTTTTAATTTGCAGCAACATTTTTAATTTGCAGGTAAAATTTTTAGTTTGCAGCAACATTTTTAATTTGCATGTGTTAGAGTTCCCATTTTTGTGAAAAGCGCAGTAAAATAACAAAATCACAGCTTCATGTTAGAATTAAATATATCGAATGTGGGCTATTGTTTGCAACTGTGCGTTTTTCCCGCGCTTGACAACCTTGACATGAATTTACCTGACGTCGAAATGCGATTGGTTCCTTCAAGTTTCAGGTGGCGTTGTGGTTGGTTAGAGTATGAACTTTGGGTGCTTTCCATTGGTCGTATTCCGGAATGAGAATACTCAAGTTTTGCTACAAATCTCTTCAAGCGTAATTTTTGAACTCTTAAACGTTACTTACATATAAACATCTTATTTCAAGCAGATATTTAGATATTTCATTTAATGCAATGAATGCAGTGATTTCTAGTTAAGAGTTTATTCCATTCAGTATTCTGATTCCGGATTACTGTCCTAAAGTTTGCTTTTACGATGTTCAGTGGAAGCCCACACTTTATATACAAAACAAAACGAAACAAATAAACACAGGAACTGGATGCAGGATGCCTATGATCAGACTCTCCTAAACACATCACTGTTTAGTTACAATAAACAGGTCTTGATTGATTAGTGAAAAAAAACTTTATGTCAGTGCCTTAAGAAATGTCTGGAAAACTTTATGAAGAAAACGCTTGCTGATGTTAGGGTAAGAAGCGACGGCTAGGGAAACGTCTCTGGTTTTCCAATATTCCAGATTCAGAAAGAGAAACACTAAAAATTAAAAAGATCTGTTTCAGCCCCAAAGTGTCAATTCAGCCCTGCAGGCCAGAGTCTAATTCAGCCCTTCCTGAAGCCATTTGAGCACAATTTAGGCCAAAAAAAAATCAATCAAAAGGCTATTCCAGCCCACGGTAGGGCCCATTTCAGCCCTGGGACCAAATCAGCCCTAGCTAATTGGACTGTATTGGCCCTGATTTAAGGGAGCCAAATTAGACTCTGGTACCTAACATACTTATACTTTAGAACGTTGCATCACTTTTTACCTATGCACTCGTACCCTGATCCCAGAGGTTTTTCTTGAAATTTTTCTTCGCCAAAGAGAGAGCGAGCTGCGAAGCAGCGAGAAGGTAAAATTTCGCGAAGAAAAAGTTCAAGAAAAACCTCTGGGACCAAGGTAATGCACTGGTGGGTCAACGTGATGCTAGTTAATGAACTTTCATTATCAATTTACTTACTACTTTACTACTTTTCTTTAATGTGAGACGAATAAAATAAACAATTTACTTTGACACGGACTCTACAATGCCTTCACTCATTTCTCGCGTTTCTGACGAACCCTAAACTTCTATTGATGTCGGGTTTGAGAGCGTCGCGTCTTTTACGCATCATACAACATCATATAAAATCGAAAATAAAAATAAAAACTCTCCCTCGTTAGGCAAGAGATATGACCTGGCCTTCTAGGCATGCGTCGTGCGTTCTTTTCCCACGCGGCGCAACCTTTGGGAAAGTCCTGTTAGCGCAAGGACAGGCTGCCCAAACCCACGTGCTCATCACGAGGAAAGGGTGTAAAGTAATAGGTGACGCGTGACCTTTGTACTGGACGCGCCGGTGTCGCGTTTTGGGCAAACGTTGAAAATAAGAGACGTGTGAGAAATAAAAATCTGAGATCTACGAACGCTAAATAACGTTAAATCTAATTTTTCTTCCAATAAAATAAATAGAAATGACTTACCTGCGATGTATTCCACTGTGTTTTGGTCCCGGGGGAGGTACTCCCTCCCTTTTTTACGCCCAGTTTCCTCGTAATGTGAGGTTGGACCGCCCGTGGTAAAGCGCGTGGGATTTTTCCCAGAAAATTGATAAGATTAGTTTCCGGCCTTTTAAAGAAGAGCAAATTCATGGAAAACGCAAGGTCATCGAAAAGGGGAATTACCGTTCCTGATGATAATTTAAAGCAGTTTTTTGTGTTGGAGCGGTAGACTGCAGCAGTTGGACTCGGGTGCAGTTAAAGAACGGGGGTAGGTAGATGGAAGTATTGAATCTACCTGCTCGTAATATTTGTATTTTTTGTCACATACATGCATTTACTCGTTCCTTCTAGCGGATAAACATGCATTGAGGCATATACACTTTCAGAAACAGATAATCGACGTCTAAATCCATTTCACCTTGTTTCTGTTCGTTACCAGTAGCAAATGTGACGTTGAATCACCTCGGATGTACATGCTAGCAAATTTTCATTTCTATGAAAGCTAAATTATATATTTACTGATACAAATCCGCCCTCAATTTCTTCCTTGAATCACTCCATCTTTAGTCTTTTCATTTTCAGTTTCACTATCTCGCTTAAGCTTGCTTCCGGCAATAAGCTAGGGCAGCCGAAATTCCAAAAACGAGAATAAAGTAATTTCAACCATTCCCGGCTTACAAAATATTTTGAGACACTTTTATTATGCTTTGTAAGTTCCTTACAGTCATTTTTTAGCGGAGCTCTGGCGCGCGAAGCGCGCCTGCGGAGCACCATGGGTAAGTAAATCTACCCATCCCAGAAAATTTGGTAATCACGTGACCGTACACCGCCCTCAGCCCGCCCGTCCGTCCGCACCACAGGGCAACCAATGTTCAATCACACTTTCTAGTTTGGGAGCACAGGAAGACTGATATTGCAGACATATTGCACATCAATCTTGTGATCAATTGACAGCTGTCAAAACAGGGTATCCGCTGACCAGTATCACCTGATCATATCGCGGGCTCAGGTGTCGACCCATCGAGGTCGAGTATCTTTTTAAAGTTATCCGCTGACAAGTTACTAGTTTTCAAATGATTGCAGGCTCAAGTTTAATTTTTCAATTCATATGAATTATGTTGTGTTTTATATGTGCCGCACAATTAAAATTTTGATTTCAAACTGACCTCGGAAGCTAAGAATTAAGCCAGTTTTTATAGGCAGGGAGGACATGCTAGTTGCTTTTGACTTTTCTCACCAAGGTCACGCGTTGGTCACGCTCTACGTCCAATTTTTATACTCTGATTGGTCAAAATTTGACAGGTGAGTTCACGCGGAAAATTTATGCAGCATCTTGAAACTTGTTTACTTTGACAGCTGAAGCTGACAGAGTTTTGTGTCAACTTTGTGATGTTTTTAACTGTCTTTTTCCACTAAATGTACAAAGTGAAATTCAGCTGCTATCAAGAGTCTTCTGTTATTCATGGCTAGTTTGTTTATTGGGTTTTTGGTTGAGAAATACGTCGCTTTGGCAAAGTCGGAAATCCGATTCGGATGGCATCGTTTTCGTTTTTCACCTTGCTTGATGCGTAAGACGGTTGAAAAGTCTGAAGCGGTTCTGGCCTTACTTGATAGTTTTCAGTGCATCTCAAAAGGTAAGCCTGAGTAATTATTGTATTTGTTTGTTTTTTATATCTAATTTAATGAAGTCGAGCGTAGTTTACGCGGCTATTTGGTTTATGCACGTTTGTAAGATTTGAGACAATGATCTGACCGAGAGTGACCGAGTATCAGGTTTGATTATCAGCTTATGGAACTTTAAAAAGCCTTTAGACATTTTCTCACCGCAAATAGAAAGAAAACGTTCCAAAGAATATTTGGTTACAATTCTGGCTGTAAAAGAAAGCTTTGAGCGATTTTCTTGCCTCGAGTTCGTCTTTGAAAAAAGCAAACACCGGGAAGCCGGCTTAAAACGTAAACAAGGATTTTCAGAGACACTTTACATGTGTAATACTTGTCTTCGTGAATGAAAATTGTTGTCTCTGTATATGTTTCACCGAATTATTTTCCCTTTCTTTATTGATTGTAAGTAGTCTCTTTTGCAATTTTAATCGCTGTGCCGTTTGTTTTCAGTCGCTCATGAACATCGCTTGCAAGAGTAGTCAAAATGCCGCGCGTATCAAACGCTTTTGAAGATTACAGATCTTTATAATAAATTCTTTATTGTGTTGAAGCGTATAACTATATTAATCTTAATTTAAACAGTCGACTTGTCAAAAGTGAGAACTGGCTAGCCGTATAGGTGATTTTGGAAATTTTTTTGACGATTTCGCTAAAAGCCCACACGTGCTTTGATCGTCCTGAATATTGAATGAGTGCAATTTGTATTGCAAAATTGTGAAACACTGCATTCTGTCCGAGGTCTGTATGATGAAAACGGCGCAGGTGTTTTCCAGGCCTAATCTACTGTGATCAAGAGCCATTATGGCTCTTAAATGTGATCGAAGATGATTGCTATTTTTTGGGTGTACATATAAAGGCTATCAACTCGATGTAAGATGAAGTTCACTCTTAGCTTGGACTGTTTGCAAATTATTTTTCTCGAAAATCACGTAGTCTTTCCCTCAAAAGTCACATGAATGTGCTCTTAAGTTAACTGATGTGTGGAATACAAGTTTATTGTTTGATTTGAATTATAAATTCCAGTTAATAGGAGCTTCGCTTTTAGGCCTGGCTAAATCTATATATTAGTCTACGCTTGGATCACTTTCACTTTCGAAATTCCGGGGAACACCTCTCCAAGGACGAAAAATCTCAGCAGTCAGAGCTGATTCATTTTGATGGAAAAAAATATGAATTAAAAAGCTTTCGTTTTTTCCTTTAGGCCGCCCTCGAAAAGGGGGTGAACGATATGATTAAAATACAAAGCGCTGATAGAGAAAGAAGAGAAAGAGAGAGAGAAAGAGAGCGGGAGAGAAAAATTGTTGAACGGCTAGAACAGGAACGCAGGCAGAGGGCGCATGAAGAAAGACAGCGCATCGAAGAAGAGAGAAGAAAAGAAGAGGAGAGGAAAAGGGCAGAGTATGAGCGGCAAAGGAACCTAGAGAAGGCACAAGAGGAAGAAAGGAGAAGAAAAGAGGAAGAGAAACGCATGCGTTTGGAGAAGGAACTTTGTCTTCGACGACATGAAATGTTCAATTACAAATTTGGCAACAAAACCTGGCTGGGTAGTTTTTGGGGGTTTGGAATAGATGACGTAACCCAACTCAGGATAGGCCTCTTCGGAGCAACTGGATCCGGTAAAAGCTGTTTTATCAACACGTGTGAACGCACTGTGAGACAAACAGAAAAGGGATCGGCTCCTGACAGCAGCACTGGTCAAGAAGGGACAATCACTCTTCAAGACTATCTCCCAGAATTGTTTTTCCGCTTGGTGGATACTCGTGGTTTCTTCAACTACAGCGCTAACGAGATCGTGGAATTTCAAAACATTTTGCACGCGAAGATTCAGCCTGGAGATAACGTGATCCGTTTGCCAGAAGACGGAGCCAGCGCCGCATCCGTGAACCATCATCCATGTCCCCCTTTTGCTAACCGACTTCATGGGATAATTATTGTTGTCATGGCGAATGATCCTAGGCTGACAGGAGGAATTCTGGAGAAGTACGTAACTCCAGTAAGGGAAATTTTGTTCAAAACTAGTAAACTGCCTCCTCCTGCTTTTACCATTTACTCAACAGTTGTTTCTGAATACCTTATATCATTATATATAAGTGCATAATGCTTTTTTCAGTTGTTATCAGCTCAGGAACAGAACATGCATAAAGTCTGTTGTGATCGAATCATTAAACAGTATATCAAATCCTATTGACATGTGATTCAGTCTAAACACAAGAAATTTACAAGGCAGGATATTACACAATGAGAGCTTGATGAAAAAAGTCAATTTTCATTAGCCTGAATTCGGCCCCTCGGAAAATGGTTAAGTTTAACTTAAAGTTTAAGTAACTTCAGTTTTGCCTATGAGAGTGTAACAGGCTTGATACTTCAAACCTTACACGCAGATCCAGTGACAACATGAAATGGCACAACTATAGAATAAAATGTAAACCAAAAATTAGTTGTAACTGGCTTTTTGGAAACTGCGCTTTGGTCCAGCCTGGCTTTCAGATGGCAACAGGTCGTACGCTCAAGTCTGACTCATGCAATTCATGGTATGTTTCAGAAAACAAACTAATACTTTTCTACTATAAAGTAACTACTTCTTTTTCTAAAGATATTAGTAGGTGTTAAGGCTGCTTAAAGGAAATTCTCGCTTCCAAACATATCTAACATTAGCATTCTTTTTACTTCCCACATTAGTAATCACCCCGATCACCGTTGTGACGCACCATGACAAACTGAAATCACAAGAGGAGTGCGAAAACGCCCTCCCCCAAGCATCAGCGGCTACCGGAAGTTCATCGGATCACACATTCTTTGTACGCAACTACACAAAAGACAACAGTAAACGTAATCCGGAGACAGAGTGCATGATATTCGACATTCTTCACTGCGCACTGCTGACGGCCGAGAAGGCAGTGAAGGTCATGAAACAGAGAGAAATGGAGGAAGACGAGAAGGCATTGAATTCTGTTGAAGGTAACATATAACTTTAAGACCCGATACAGCCGATAACCGAGGCAGTACTCCTAGGAAATTCGGTTAGGGCTGCGCTATTTTCATCAGAATTCCGAAGAAGTAACAAGTGAACAGGAACTCTGATGTAGGTAACAATCAAGGTCAGCTATGGCTCCAAAACGTACCCACTTTAAAGATTGACAATCGAACTCAATCAAATGACAGTCATGTTGAAAATTTCACAACAATATCCACACGCTGTTTACAGGGCATGACAGGGGCACCCAACGACAGTTTCCTTCTAATGTATTCAAAACACTTTTTAGGCTATCCAGGGTAAATTTAGATCTCTAGAAATGTATTGTAAGCTGCGCCATAAAATTTGTATCTGTTCGGTCACCCTTGGGGAACTTGAGTTTTATCGAAATTACAAGGGCTTGAGATTATTTCCAAAAATTATAGATGAAATTTGACGTATTACGAAATTGAGAAAATTTATGATTCCTCTCTCCATCGCGTGTTCTAATCCGAGAATTTTAGTTTTCCTTTCATCAACAAAGAATATCCCAACTTGAGAAGTAAAATGCGAAAAATTCGTAGGGAACGGTGGTCTCGAATTTTTTAGCCGTCCTGAACGAATCCCATTTGGTGTATAGGCCTGTGAATGTTTTTTTTCCCCCAGTAGATGGAAGTCATACCAGCAGTCATGTTCGGCAGCCTTTACAAGGACGTCTAAAAACGGAATCGAATTGTCCTGTACAAATTACGGTTTTTACTGCTAATACCATTTGTCAACCGAATTTAACTAACGAAAAGAAGTTCGCTTATTTAGAGAAAATTAACTATTTTTTTTATTCACCCTTATATATCAATGTTTTGAGGTTATGGGACATTGAATCTCACTAGACAAAACCAAAAACAAACAACAACAACAACAACACAAATGCCTAAGACGTTTGGCGGGGTGAACCCTTGAGGGATCAACTTCCTATCTTAACTAATCTCTCAATACTTTCAGAATCTGTCGAGGTCTTTCTTCGTAATCTGGGAAAAGAACACATGGAAAATCATTGGAGTGCCAGCAGCTCAAAAGAGGTTTTGAATAAGCTGACTAAAGATGACGTCACAAACGTCAGGCTGCTAGCCATGTGTTGGAGTGATGTGCAGGCGCACTTTTCTTTGGGAATGAAGAAGACAGTGGAGAAGGAACTCAAAAGCAGAAACATGATAGATTGAAGAAACCTGGGACACTGACCCGCTGCGTTATAAGGCTCTCCTTTTTACTTCTTTTGAAAAAAGAACATTTTACAAAATGTTTTCTTCTCTTGCTTTTTTCTTACTATATGTCTACGATTATAGATGGTGAAACAGTAGTGGTTAAGGGTTGCATATAAAAACGTTGACGTTCCATGGAATTGTCTAAAAAAACGGCATGCATATCGATGCATTGAAGAAGTGTTATGAATTCGTAGTTGTGTAGTGTACAGTGTATAGTAGTCACGAGGGAGGGGGAAGGAAGGGCACTCAACAAATCTTTACAGTGGGAGGATCCGCTCAGATATCCAACCCCTTTCACAGCAAATGTACCCTTTTGTAAGCATTTCATTGAAAAATGGTACCTACCCCTTCCCCGCACATATCTTATTTCAACTGCTGCAAATACATTTTCTTTCACATATGAATAAAACACAAAAAAATTTCTCGAATTTTTCCATAACCATAAAATCCTCTTAGGGAACGGTCATTATTTATCGCCTGGGGGAAGGGGAGGGGAAGGGGGAAGGATTTGGGACCAAACAAGGTGAAATTTAGCCGATCCCCCTTTAAATGTTAGTTCACTGAAGTGATCCCCCTAATAACATGACTTTCGTGATCCCCCCCCCCCATCTCTTCATTTTCCAAGCAAATTTGAGTAGTTTTCTCAATGAATCCTTCCAAAGTTGCCAGTGATCCCCCGTTTTAGGTTCTCAGTCATCACTGATTCCCCCTTTTATTCTCCTAAATATCAAGTGACCCTCCCCCCACCCCCGGCGATAAATAATGGCCGGTCCCTGACTGCCCTTTTAAGTCACTTTACCGACCAAAATGAATGTTTGAATGTAGCCTTTTGACAAACAATAAACCATTGATGTGTATTGATTAAGGACTGAACTTTGTATTATTACTACAAAAAAATGTACATTATCATTAGTAATGCTTCGTCTTTTAATGCATTATCCGTTATTTACAAGATCTCTCTTTCCCTTAAAAAAAAACTGCACATCTAAGTTACAGTACTGCTTAAAAGTAAGTTGAGAGCTACTGGCATCTCGATCCTTGATCGTGGAGACTTAACCAAAGTTACCAGTTCAGAAATGAAATGAGCTTGTTGCTTGACTGATCTCACTAGAAACAAATTCAACGGAATGGACTGCCCTCTGTTACCCCCCAGGTGTAAGAAGCCGAGTAGAAGTACCAAATGCAAAAAAACCTTCCTTTCTTTATGAGAATTATGTTAAAACATACTAGTTAGCATAAGAACAGCATGCATGGGTCAACTCCAGTCTTGTTTTCACCTGTAACTGTAAAATGGACTATTCAACTACAGGAGAGTTCGCCCACATTTAACAAAGTGAGTGACTTGGAATTCACTTTTTAAGCAATTAATGTTTTCGCCGCTGTCTCCATAGGTTACCAACTTTTGAAGCCAACCAAATAAGGAAATCTCTGTGAAGTTTGCCCGATCCCTAAAACTTTACCTGAGCGCGCCCAAGTAATAAAACCCCAAAGGGCGATAAAGTCTATTCTAGTCTACTCTATTTTGAATACATCGGTTCAGGGGTGTAAAAGAACTCCGACTGTATAAGTTACAGGTGATTTCTTGTGAGAAAACGCAAGGCTATCCAATGGGAACCGTTGAATGAATAGAAGTGTGGTTTTTTTCGCCATCGGTTCAATCGCAGTCTTTAGAAGTCTCTGCAAGAGGATCCTGAAATGGGGCGAATCTTCTGAAACTTATTTTCAAGAACGTTTACTCAGTATAAGTAGCTCCCAAGAAAATGTATACGGTAGAAGTCGGAAGGCAACCTCAGCTGAGACCCAAATGTCCGACACTATTTTGTACATTGTAAAATTCAAAGTTTGCTGTTAATCTTTCTTCTTAATTTTGGCATTAGCAGTTGGCTGGGAGTTTGGGAGGGCGGTTTCTTTAGTGATCGGGTTTGGGTCTATGAATGTTTACTTGCGCTTCACTTTGTATGATTCGTCGGTATTTATTCTAGCTACTAGTACGAATAGTTATTTTAATTTTCATATCGTTGCATAACCCATTCAGTGACTTGAAACGGAGCAAAGCCGGAACTCTAAGGAGTACGGGACTCTTAGCGGAGTACAAGAAAACTATCGAAAGTTGTTGAATAATTCCTTTCCATGGGAGCAGCTCACATGTTTCATGCTGGATTGGATTTCATTCTGACAAGACCGTATTTCTCTATGTACAAGCCGTCCCCAATGTTTCACCAGCCCCCGCACCAGCCGCAAAGTGTTCCTTATTTTCCAAGAAAGGACGATTAACACGTGTGTGAGCTTAGTTCCTTGTTGCTGATTTTTTTCTATCATTTTTTAGGTTTAGACACAAAATGAGGATTTAGATGGGAGAATGTAAAACTGAAATATTAATTTGGCTGGTTTTGCTTTGCAAATCTCACTAGTATGGGTCTTGTATGTGAGGGGCACGGAAATTTCTTACTTCCGCTCACTTCCGGCTTTCACTTTCGAATCATGATAACAGGGGAGGGTTGAGGACCAGTTTTTGCCCAGTTAGAAAGGGTCTTCCGGCTTCACTTTCACTTTCCGCGGTAATGTCAGAGTAATTCCCTGCAGTTTACTTTCAATTACAACTCTTCAATCATGGCAGGAGAAAGTAGCTGTCATGGCAAAAACTGCCATCCATTTCAGTCCTGACTTGTCTTTCACTTTTGAGCATGAAATTAAGAGTGGCAAATCTAGTTTTCACCTTTTTTGGCCTATGACCGTTAACATACGAAGGCTGCAAAACGTACACTTCTGGGCTTGCTATTTTCAGTTTCGCGACTCACAATTCCTAAAGGTAAAGTGACGTCTTAGCGACAAAGAAAGGATAACTGTGAAAATTTGCATTCTCTTTGTTGTTATAGGTAACAACTCTGAATTAAGTTTTCTAGGAAACTCAAATGTCGTGAATAGCTGAAAATTTTAGTGCAAACGCTGATTTTTTTCTTCGGCAAAAAAAGTTGAAAGTTTTTCAGAAACTAGATACAAATATCGTTTATTTTGTAGACCTTTCGTTTGGTCGTCAGCAGCTTGTTTGCATACACACTTATCAGGAAACAAGAATGAAAGAGGCTTTGTTTCAAACGGAAGCTTTAGAGTACTACATAGGAACTCAAGACAGACATTTCATATAAATACGAAATAACACATCTTAACTGAAATGTTGACGTATATCAATTTGTTGTCAAAACACTTTCTCTTTCTGTTAAAAAGAGGTTACACTATTTCTCTGATTTACCATGTGCGAAATTTATAATAATTAATGGCAATAGAGATTGATATGACTAGTCATTTTCCATTTAAAGATACCGTATTTATTCGAATAAGCGCCCAACCTCGAATTAGCGCCCACCTCGAATAAGCGCCCATCCTAAAGGCAGAAAAAGTTAATAAGCGCCCACCCCCTCGTCCTCCCAATCAAACTCAAATAAGCGCTCACCCCTACCCCACCCACTTGAGTGAATAAATTCTAATAAGGACGGAGTTTTCTTCAGAGTATTTTACAGAAACCTTGCTTTGTTACTTCTTCGCGTTTTGTTATTAGCATTTATTGTTTTGTTGCAAAATCAACATACCGTAAAATTCCGAAAATAAGCTCCTCCATCTACAAGCCCCTCCAAATATAAGCCCCCCAAACTGGTAACACAAAAAAACCCTCCGTTAAATCGCCCCTCCAAATATAAGCCCCCCGGGGGCTTGTACTTGGAAAATGTCCCTCCAATACAAAGTAAAACAAAGCAAGAACGGTAAATTTACTTCCAACTATAAGGCTAGCCCAATCGATTTTGAAACGCGAGTTTCCTTCCGTAGATAAGCCCCTCCGAATATAAGCCCCTCCAAAAATAAGCCCCTCAAAAGGGGCCTTTGAAAAATATAAGCCCTGGGGCTTATTTTCGGAATTTTACGGTACTTTACTTGCTGAAAATGGTGAAAATTTACTAAGCGCCCAGGGTGGTTAATCGAATAAATACGGTAATTCACACGCTGGATGTAAAATGAACGCCGGAAAATTCTCAATTACTGCAATTACTGCATCATACGTAACCACCGCAGTGAACTTTCGAGTAAATAAAGTGCTACCGCACCCGAACAATTTTGGTACCTCTACAAAGGGTTTCTATCTCTTGTTGTAAATGTCCCCTGATGATGAGTACCTCTGTTTTTCTTGATATTATCTTCTTTTTGTTATCAGGGGCCCATACCCAGCTAGACTACGAGCAGTCTCTCTTTTTTCTTGGTCCGTCGAGTAAAACGTCCGAGACCCGCAAATGACCACGCGCGTGACTGAAGGCGCGAGACAGGAGAGGCCTTGTTTCTCGCGTCTCGCGGCTTCGCCGCTCAACGCTTGGGCGCGCTTGCACTCCCTTAACTAAATCTGAAGAAAAAGAGAGACTGCTCGCAGTCTAATACTCATCAGGAGAATCATTACCATCAGGAGCCCATTATTGGCGCCTGTTTCTATTTACTTTTTGCCTAGTCAAACTTGTAATAAGCAGTCAGACCCCCCCCCCCCCCCCCCCCCCCCCCCCCCCCTAAAAAAACAACCCACCCCCCTTGTCGTCCTCCCCGCCTTCACCTTTCGCCCTTTTTTGCTTTCTTATTTTTTTTTTTTTTATTTTTGTGTGTGTACACCTTTTATCTTTCTTTTTAGTTCTTACTTTTTTTTATCATCCATTTCTTCTCTTATATCATTCTATTTCTTCAATCTTCTCCTCACTAACCCCCCCCCCCCCCCCGCCCCCGCCCCCCATCTACATAAATAATGACCGGTCCCTAATTGGCGTTCGCATCCAGATACCTTTGCGCGTTCATTAGTTCTTCAGTTTTCTAGCTGAAATTGTGACGATGAATCACCTTTGATTCACTTGCTAGCAATTACTCATTTCTATGAGACCTAAATTATGCACTACTGGTACAATTCCTCTCCAATTTCCTCCTCAAATCACTACTTTTATTTTGCTTTCACTTTATCGCTCGCTTCCGCATACTGTTGCATAAGAGAGACAATTCTAAAGACGAAAGTAAAGTAGTATCGATCACTCCTTACAAAATACTTTATGACTTTTTGTCAGCAACCAGTGTGTCTGTGAAAGTCGATTTTAGCTCCTGAGTCTGATGTGTTTCGCCTAGAACTGTCCTGCTGGAAGGGTACTCCCAGAAAATTTGGGTCGGAGGGAATACTTCCCAACCCCAAACTCGCAGTGTTTCAGACCGAAATATGTGAATTTCCCTATCTTCCGTGTCGCTGTACACGTACTGATTATAGTACTCGATAACAGTGATTAACGAAAACAAATCCCAGGAGTCAGATGATTCATTTTGATGAGACAAATGAGAAAACTTTCAGCACCTTTGGCAGGTCTGGCAGGTGTGGAAAATTATTGCATAATTTTATGCAATAATTATGCACACACACCGCCATGAAAACTGAGAAAGGCGTCATAAGTACTTTATACAGAATGAGTTATGACGTAATGGGTTTAACTCAAGCTTCCCTTCAGGGTGGCTCAAGCCATGAAAGGCTCATTACACCTACGTTGATAACACAGCGATAAAAAGTGAAAGAGCACGGCAAGAGAACTGGAACGGCTGGAAAACAAACGATCTGAGATCGATATGCAAGAAATATGACCTGGCCTTCTAAGCATGCGTCGTGCTTTTCTTGCCCAGTAAGCACGTGGGGTTTTTCCCAGAAAATTGATGAGATCAGTTTCGGGCCTATTTAAAGAAGTGCAAATTCATGGAAAACGCAAGGTCATCGCCGAGGCGAATTACCGTTCCTGATGCTAATTTAAAGCAGTTTTTTGTTTTGGTGGGGAAGACTGCAGCAGTTGGACCCGGGTGCAGTTAAACAATGGGGGTAAGTAGATGGATTAAATCTTCCTGTTTGTATTTCTTTTAGTGTCACATGCCTGCACTTATCTGATCCAGCTAACTGATCGATAATTAAAACATACATTCAGGCATATTCTGACTTTCAGAGGAAGATAATCGGCGTCTAAATCCATTTCGCCTTGTGTCTGTTCATTACCAGTTGCAAATGTGACGTTGAATCACCTTGGATTTACTTGCTAGCATATTTTTAATTCTAGGAAAGCTTAATTATATATTTAATGATACAAATCCGCCCCAACTTTCTTCCTTGAATCACTGCTTCTTTTAATTAGTCTTTCCATTTTCAGTTTCACTGTCTCGTTTGCTTCCGCGTGAGCTAAAGACAGCCGAAATTCTAGAAACGACAATAAAGTAATATCAACCATTCCTTACAAAAGAAAGTTTTGTCACACTTTTATTACGCAGCACTGTCTAAGCCACTTACAGTCAATTTTGAGCTTCCGAGGATAATTTTGATGTGATTTCACTTCCGTCCTCAGGTAGCCGACGTTTGGATCACTTTTTTTTCCCCGGGGGGACACTTCTCCTAGGATGAAAAATCTCAGGCAGTAGTTAGCTGATTCATTTTGATGGGAATATAACCAAAACTTTCGTTTTTTCTTTAGGGTGGTGGTTCTAGCCATGAAACACATTACACCTACGTTGACAACACAGCGATAGAAAGAGAAAGAGCGCGGCAGAGAGAACTTGAACGGCTAGAACACGAACGCAGGCAGAGGGAGCTAGAAGAAAGACTGCGCATCGAAGAAGAGAGAAGAAAAGAAGAAGACAGGAAAAGGGCAGAGTATGAGCGACAAAGGAAACTAGAAAAAGCCCAAGAGGAAGAAAGAAGAAGACAAGAGGAAGAAAAACGCATGCGTTTGGAGAAGGAACTTTGTCTTCGACGACATGAATTGTTCAATTACAAATTTGGCAACAAAACCGGGCTGGATAGTTTCGAGGGGTTGGAACTAGATGACGTAACCCAACTCAGGATTGGCGTCTTCGGAGCAACTGGATCCGGTAAAAGCTGTTTTATCAACACATGTGAACGCACTGTGAGACAAACAGAAAAGGGATCGGCTCCTGACAGCAGCACTGGTCAGGAAGGTACAATCACTCTTCAAGATTATCTCCCTGAATTGTTTTTCCGCTTGGTGGATACTCGTGGTTTCTTCAACTACAACGCTAATGAGATCGTGGAATTTCAAAACATTTTGCACGGGAAGATTCAGCCTGGAGATAACGTGATCCGTTCACCAGAAGACGGAGCCAGAGCAGCATCCGTGAACCGTCATGCACGTCCCACTTTTGCCAACCGACTTCATGGGATAATTATCGTTGTCATGGCAAATGATCCGCGGCTGAGGAAAGGAACTTTGGAGAAGTACTTAAGTCCATTCCGGGAATTTTTGTGCAAAACTGGTAAACTGTCTCCTCCTGCTTTTACCATTATACTCTCCAGTTAGTGTTGAATACCTTAATATATATGTGCATAATGTTTTCCCGGGGGTGGACTCCGCATATGAAAGGGGTGGGGATGCTTGTCGTCTCGCTTAGGGGTGTAAATTTCGGATTTTGGTGTCACTTAGGGTGTTCTGGGCTAAACGCCATCAGATTTAGCCGTGAAGGTCTTATCTAGGGTTGCACGCGAAAAAATATAAAAATATATAATTTATCTGTGTTTTAACATGGTCTCTTTCAGGGGTCAAAAAAGCTTGGGCAAGGCCCAGATCGGTCTCCTTTAGGGGTTTAATTCAAAATTTCCGACGAGCATCCCCACCCCTTTCATATGCGGAGTCCCCCCCCCACCCCCGAGAATGTTTTTTAGTTGAAATCACCTCAATTTCCTTAACAAACAGAACGCATTATAGCAATGTCCGTGGGTCATAAAATACAGTATGATATCATATTCTATAGTGTGCGATTAAATAAACACATAAACTGTTCACAGTCCCCTATTTTTTCGTGAGATCGTCGAGATACAGCGCGTCTTTCCGTTACTGGCGGCCATCTTGATCTTCAAATGTACCGAGGGGGCGGGCGTCGGGGATTATAGCTCTAGGTTTTTCTTGCTTCCTCCCAAACCGCCCTCGTCCCCTAAGTAGTTTTGACACTCATGCAAGATGGCAACCCATATACGGAAAAATAGAGGACTGTGAACAGTCTACTAAACACCAGAGGTTCACAAGGTAGGATTTTACAAGTGGAAGCTGGGCGAAAAGCCAATTTTTGTTACCCTGAACGAGGTCTCTACTAAGATGGTTAAGTGTAACTAAGGGTTAAGCCAAAGTTTAAGTAAGATTTTTTGTCTTTTTAGCTAGGAACTTGTTAGCCTGAGTATCAGGCGTTTCTGGGGAAAAGGGGAAAAATCTCTTCTCCCCTAGCCCCGTAGGAAGGCCTGATACTCAGGCTAGGAACTTGTAACTGAAGCTTAATACTGCAAACCTTACACCTAGATCTAGTTCTGATAGCACGAAATGGTACAATAATGGGTTAAAATGTTATCCTTGGATTAGCAATATGTTTTTATGAAACCACCCCCAGGTCTGCCCTGGCTTTTTAGCGGCCATTGGGGTCGAACGCTCAAGTTTGACCCATTTTATGGTATGATCAGAAATTAGTTGGAGTCACTTTTCCTCAGTCTAAGAATATAAGTAGGTGATGAAAGTCTCGCTTCTATCATCCAACATTAGCATTTTTTTCCTTCCCACATTAGGACTCGCCCCGATCACCGTTGTCACGCACCGTGACAAACTGAATTCACAACAGGAGTGTGAAAACGCCCTCCGCCAAGCATCAGCGGCTACCGGAAGTTCATCGGATCACACATTCTTTGTGCACAACTACACAAGAGACAACAGTAAACGTAACCCTGAGACAGAGTGCATGATATTCGACATTCTTCACTGGGCACTGCTGACGGCCGAGAAGGCGGTGAAGGTCATGAAACAGAGAAAAATGGAGGAAGACGCGAAAGCAGTGAATTCTGTTGAAGGTAATATAGCCTGAACACCCGAGGGAGTACTCGGTTAGGAAGAATTTAGTCTTTTCAGCAGAATTCGCGAAGAACGCACTTTTGCTGCTTCTCAAAATTCGTCTCGTTGCTAGATCCCTACATGTATGTCGATGTCACTCTCGCTAGATAGGTGAGAGATCTGGGTACGAGATTAAAAGTTACACGTGAGCTCAACCGTGAACGAGAGAAATTTGCAAACGCTAAGCAAAACACTTTAAGCTCAGGTTGTTACGGTAGACTCTTTCTAAACAGAAACCTCGGAAAAAGCAGACCTCTATTGTTGGTCCCAGCCTATCTTACTCCCTTTATTTGACTCTCTATAAGACGAACATCTCTCTAAGACGGACACTTAGTGCCAGTCCCAAAGGTGCTTAGTCTGCGGACACATATTACGTATTTCTGGTCGTCGCTTCTCTCCACCCGGGTGGAGAGACACGACGACAGGAAATACGTAATATATGTCCGCAGGCTAAAAGGTGCCCTACTTCGAGCCAGAGAGTTGACTGTACTTTTTCAATGTATTTGTAACAGGCTGTTTACTTAATAAACGTTTTGAAAGTCTACTAAAAAGGTTCTGAGTGTTTGAAGACCGGAACCGGTGTTAATACCGGCGCCATTTGTCAACAGAATTTTACCAGGGTCAAGTAGGGAGCGAAACGTTTTCAAAAAAAAAGGTCATTATTTGGTGAAAATAAACTTATTTTTTATTGACCCTTATCAATGTTTCGACCTTATGGGGCACAAAAACAAAAACGAACAAATAACAATAACAACAACAACCCCTCAGAGGTTTGAAGGCGATGGTCCCGTGAGCGATCGACTTTCCATTCTCTGATTGATAACTGATCTTTTAATATTTTCAGCACCTGTCGAGGTCTTTCTTCGTCATCTACAAAACGAACACAAGGGAAATCACTGGAGTACCAGCAGCTTAAAAGAGGTTTTAAATAAGCTGACTAAAGATGACGTCACAAGCGTCAGGCTGCTGGCCATGTGTTGGAGTGATGTGCAGGCGCACTTTCCTTTGGGAATGAAGAAAACAGTGGAGAAGGAACTCAGAAGCAGGAACATGATAGACTAATTAGAAGAAGAGGCCAAGGACACTGACTCTCTGAGATACGAGGCTTTTATCTTTTTATGAAAGGACAACATGATCCAAAATGTTTGCCTGTTCCGTCTTCCTTTCCTTACTAGATGTGATAGTAAAGTTGTTTCAACAGCTGGTGGTCAAATAAAAATCATAAACTAAAAAAAACGCCTTAGCCCCCTCCCCCCCCCCCCCCCCCCCCAAAAAAAACAAAAAAAAAAAAAAAAAAAAAAAACAAAAAAAAAAAAAAAAAAAAAAAAAAAAAAAAAAAAAAAAAAAAAAAGACAGGCCCCCAAAAAAAAGATCCCATTACAAAAAAAAAAAAAAAAAAAAAAAAAAAAAAATTAACAACAAAACATAAAAAAAAAAAAAACAAAAAAAAAAACAAAAAACAGAATAAAATTTTTTGAAAAGAAAACCATATCCAAAATGTTTTGCTGTTCCCTCTTCCCTTTCTTAACAGATGTGATAGGAAAGTTGTTTTCACAGGCGGGTGGAAAAAAAAAAACAAAAACTAAAAAAAACGCCCTAGCCCCCCCCCCCCCCCCCCCCCAACCATAAAAAAAGAAAAAGAAACAAAGAAATAAAGAGGAAAAGAGGGAAAACAGAAGAAGAAGAGGACATACACCATATTTCCGAGGCATGCCCACTTAAGAAGTGTTCCCGTTTAAAACGACAGAAAATAAAATTCACAACAAATTTTGCGATCGATCGTTAAGAAACAGAAGCTTGAAGATAAGAGAACGTGATCGTTGATAGTATGGCCTATGGCCAGATGTGTTGAACAGTTGAAAAGAGACAGGGATGTTTAGCTATGCTTGTCGTCTCGTTTAGGAGGGAGTCAGTGGGCTTAAGGCAAATATTCTGTTAATATTTTAACTTTCTACTTGCAGTAAAAGGTTTAAATTGAAGAGGAAAGTTCAAACGATTCCATTCCATCGGCTTAGGCCTCTCACGGCCTGTACACAGACAAGGTTTTATTTTTCTTTTCATTCTTTTCGAAACATCGGCGAGTGCTCAAGCGTGAGCGCAGGGCGAAAAGCGAGCGCCTCTATTCTTTTCTTCCCCTACTACTACCCTCTTGCGCTGGCGGTCAATAAATCCCCCGCGGTTTTTATTTTTTTATCATGCGCGCTCGAAGGACTTTGAAGAGAAAATAGAGGGCCTTTGAACAGGCTAGGGCTTCTAAGGACCTTCCAAGGATAAGAAAGGCTGAAATTGGCCATGGGTCCATCAGACACGAGAGAAGACACGAAAAGTCCCCGGGTGGGAATTCTTGGTGAGGGTTAGCCGCCCTATTTTCCAAATGCTGACCCAGTTTCAGACAAGAATATGTCATTTGCCACGCCTGCATGTTTTTATGCCAGACCTCTAAAATTTAGACCTGGCCTTTAGGCAGAAATTATGTCACCATTTCAATCTTAGACTTAAGTGCAAACAAAAGATTTCGTCAAATGCATTTCGAATTAGCATATTTCTACTTCAATCTTATTCATTTAAAACTGAAATGATAAATACGTTCATACTCTCCCGTAGTTTTCTTGAAAACCATACCCGATTCCAGACCAAAATGGGCAAAGTATAACATGTTTTCAGACCAAAAAGGACCAAAAACATTACCCGATGGGGCGTCACATAATTTTATGGCTTATATAGGGGAGTATTTCCTTCCCCGGGGAAAACTCATTCTTGACGCTCCCTACATGACAAATTGTGCGAACTAATTTAAAGGTTTCATGATTAAAAAATTTTTTCCCCTAACAAATATTTTTTTTGGCTGTTACGGAACGGTCTACCCCACTGAGATCCTCGCTTATAGGGGTAGATAATTTTTAGATTTTTAATAATCTCACCATAGATAAGTTACAGCTGCAGTTAGGGTTGTGCGTTAAGAATTAAGAATTGATAAAGAGAAATAAATAATTTCATACTGTGTTGGAGTATGATGTCTGTTAGGTGTGGGCTAAAGCCTCGACGATGGGTAGAATATTCTCGTGAAAAGTCAAATTTTTTTTTTTATGTCTCAGGCATTTTGCATGATTTCGTGACCAATTTCATAGTGTCGTGACCAAAATAATAGATGACGTATATTCCCAGACGTCTTTGCACATTTGTTCGTGTTGTCACCGATGCCTCAGTGACCAAGGTTTACACGGGCTTTATACACGGGTTTTTTTTATCGGTTAACAGCAGAAATATTGCGAATGAGCAAGTTTTGGAGGCTTTACTGCTGAGAAGTCAAATTAAATTGCCAAGTGACATCAGTAGTCCCATTAGAGAAAGGACAGTTAGAAGGACTTGGATACCGACCTAAAACGGTTCAGTGCTTCTGCCTCATGAAGCTGGGTAAGTTATGTTTCTTAATTTAACTGAAGGGTCTTTTAGTAGGAGCACTCTTTTGTCTGTGATTGGAAACATGGAGATACTTCTCTCTTCCAGCTTAAGCAATAAATGATAAGACGCTTTTGTTAGGAGCAAATCCAAGATATCAGTAAGGCTACGGTAGAGGTATTTTGCAGATCGAACGACGAACACCGAATGACTCAGAGTTTAGTGATTGGAGTTAGGGAACTGAGTGAATTAGTTTCCATTTAGGATTATTATAGTGGAACGAAAACTGACCTGAAACTTGATTCACTCAGTTTCCTTACCTTCCTGCTTAGTTACGCTGGATGGCGTAGTCAGCCAGCGTCAATTCGGGAGCGCATTCCTTTCGTATTTTTCTTGGGAGTCAAAAATTGGCTTGTTTTTTAACTTTCTCGTATCCCGTGTCCGTCCCGAAAAATTGTGTGGTTTTTATTGGCTGCAACTTCGAATCATGTGCAAGTCAGGTTGTATTGCACAAGCAGAAAACAGATACTTCGTCAGCAAAGAACAGTGAGAAAAAGTGAGCTTACTGCATAGATAAGGACAAAGAGTTTGCTCTGACGACGCAAAACTTGGCCTCGGGCGACTGAAAATATTGTCCAGGACGCCCAGCCCGGCGACATGCCGGTGTTGTTTTCTTGATTTACCGTCAAAAATCTACAATGTCTAAAATTTGTTACTTGCGAAATCGTAGCTTGCTCGGTCGCTTCGCGGCCTGAAGAGAACGCTCCGCTCGCTAAGATTCTCTTGAGGTCGACTTGTATGTAGCATGTCTATCAAAATGCTTTAAGAAAATGCTGTTAAATCGGGCAGTCGCCCCGCGTTGATGTTCACAGGTAGTTCCTTGTGAATTCACATGCAACAGAATCCTTGACTAACGTGACAAGCTGCACAGTTTTCGATTTTAACAGCTTTTCAAAGTAACATTAACTTTTTTCAAATGAAATTGTTACTTTTGCTCTGACAGGCGTAAAGTACGGTCGGGCGACGCGAAACTATAGTTTTGTATTTCAAAAATTCGCTGAATAAACACGGGAGTCACTCTTTTTATGTTTTTATGTTAACGCAGCTAGCTGCCACCAAATCCACAAAAAGCTCATTTGTGCTGAACATTTCACCGATAATATAGAAAGAAAATACTTCTGCTCCGCGCTTAAACGACGACTTTCCAACAAGGTGATCTATTCAAGAGATAATAGTTTTGGGGCGGCCGCGGTTTCGTTGAAATCATAGCTGTTTTCCCGGAAAGCTCCACCGATTCTCAGTCAATCTAAAGCGAATTTTCTTTTAAACCTTAATCAAAATGATTAGTAAAAAGAATAGTGCCCTTATTTTTTCACCAAAAATTGTTCTTAAAAATGCATTAACAGACCAGAATCTTACTTTTCCATTTAAAAAACATGAAATGTTCGGCGGTGTACTTTCATATGACAACATGCGGGATTTTTTTTTTTTTGACACGCTTAGGAGGTCAAAGGATGTGATTTTTCATGAAAAAAAAAAAAAAAAAAAAAAAAAAACACAAAATTGTGCTTGACTTGTTTAGAAAATAATGTTTAATTTTTAACAATTAACTAACGGCTCACTGATTTATTAATTTGGGCGACCAACTTGGAGGCCCGGGCACCCCAGCTAGCCCCAGTTTTAGCCTCGCAGACCCAGCAGTAAAAAAGGTAAAAATATTTAATTAACATAAAAGACCGACTCCCGTGTTTATTCAGCGATTTCTAAAAATACAAAACTATTGTTTTGCGTCGCCGACCGTACTTTATGCCTGTCAGAGCAAAAGTAACAATTTTTTTTGAAAAACTAACTAATGAACCATCCCAATTTGAAGAAAAAATTTCAATGTTATTATGAAAAGCTGTTACTATCGAAAACTGTGCAGCTTGTCACGTTCATGGTCAACGATTATGTTACATGTGAATTCACCTGAAAAGACCTTTGAACATCAACGCGTGCCCGCTACCTGATTTAACAACATGAAATTTCTTAAAGCTTTTTGATAGACATGCTACTTATTTCTACTTACAAGTCGACCTCAAGAGTTTCTTAGCGAGCGGAGCGTTCTTTTTAGGCCTCGAAACCACCGAGCGAGCTACGATTTCGCAAGTAATAAATTCTAGACATTCTTAGCTTTTTATCAGCAGAAACAAGAAACCAACACCAGCAAGTCGCCCGGCTGGGCCACCTAGACAATATTTTCAGGCGCCCGAGGCCAAGTCTTGCGCCGTTAGATCTAGAGCACAGCCTTGAGTCTTCGTCCTCCTCCACGCTCTAAGAGGGTCTGGATGGGGGGATACAAATGTCAGTTGTCAGTTAAAATTTCGGTCAGTTGTCAGTTGTCAGTTAAATTTTAGGCTTCTTGTCAGTTGTCAGTTAAATGGTTATTAAAGATTAACTATGAAACTTATTTTTATATTTTTGAAAATTAAACATTAAATACGAAAACTGATGCCATAGTACCTTAATATTTATCAGTTTTGCTATTCTACATGTTGTAAGCATTTCAATTGGCCCTCCTTTTCTCAAGTCTCCTGTTACTCCCATCCACTCGAACGTTTTTGCTGGCCAGAGTAAAACATTGCGAACCATTAAGCCAATCAAACTAGTTTATCCCTTCAGAA